CAGCTGGTCAAATGATCAATAGGTCATTTGGTCACTAAAATATATTACATTATCTACAGTCGCGTCTATCACATTGTATTGAATGACCATTATTGGTATACTTTGTCCCAGTTACTGTGAATCTATGAAAGACATTATCTGACGGCCACAAGGCCTTGTTCACCATCGATTGATAGAAAACTATGCATCTGTTACATCTCAAAACAGCTGCTAGATATTGCAACATTGTTAATGGGAAAAAAAATGTAGTGAAATTAAAATTAACTTATTAATATTTTTGTTATTTAAAATATAATTTGTACGTAGATCTTACAACCGCAGATCGGATTTGGAGGCGGTCAGCTATCCCGGAGCGAATCACTACGATCCCGGGCTCCTGTGGACAGGGTTGGGCCGTCGGTAAATCCCGGGAACAACAAACAACTCAATATAAACCAGCACACGGATCATACTTGGAATACATACTTAACTGTTATCAATGCGATCCTTTCAAACACAATGCGTTTACATACTTCTAAGTCTTTGATGAAAAATTACGACGTTTGAACCTAAATCTTTATAAAACGTGATTTTTCCTTCCCTTTAATAGAATCAAAACAAAAAATTACTTTATATAAATGAAATTAACGATTCCCTTTCACTTTTATAAACTCGATTATAATCTGTTCGAGACGTTTCCAATTTACATTAATATTTACGAAAGAGTTGTCAACAAAAATATACAAAGGACTCAGCACATTTTGATCTCAAATTTCTAGTCAATTTATAATTAGTGTGTACTTAAATATTTTATTATATAAGGCTTGATAATAATCGCATGTTTTCTTAAATATTTATTAAAATTAATATTAAATATTCTTCTATATTTTAAAGCTTCTATTTTTATGTTGCGATATTTTTTAATACGAAGGCTGATATGTTTGTTTTCTTCAATCACTTTGTATATAATATTACTTTTGTGTCATTGTAATCTATATAAATGTGATCCAAATATATTATTGTATCCAAAAATTTGTTTTAATTAATTAAAATCCTTTTTATTTAACAATTTTTTTTATATCAATTAGCCAAATCTGTTTACAACATGTACGGCAGAGCCTGGCTAAAGCTAGGAAATTGGCAGGAAGAAGAAGAAGAATTAAAATCCTTTTTATATAATTTGTAAAAGTACATACTTACAAAATACGTTCCCTGACTGATTTATAATTTAATACAATTTTAGTATATTTAAATTAACAAAGTAAATTAACTTAATAAGAAAACCTAATAATATTAATACTATTTTTGAAATATAAGTTACATATATTAAGTAGTGTATAACACAGAAAATCATATCAATACCAAATAAATTTACGTAAAATATATATAAAGTAAAAATAACTACAATTTATTTCATAATCACTGATTTCCACAACATTCAATAATAATTGGTAAGAATAGTTGTTATTGAAAATAGTAGACGCAAAATTATATAAGAATGTTTAATATAAAATATATAAAAATCAGCTTGATTTAGAAAAATAAAGAGGTTTTTTATATAAAAAAGACATCAAAGGAATAAAATTTTGTTATTTAGCGTAACATAATAATCCTTATATGATATTATATACCACGGAAAGAAAATATTTATACGCAATTCAATAATAAATTTAACAATATAAGAGCCATATTTTTTCATACAAATACGACACATTAATTGATTTTTAATAGCCATAAAAAAGTCGTATCACAACCAAAATATCAAGTAATTTCAGTAATAACACCTATTTGTGGTAACAATGGTGTTTTTGCAAACATTTATAAACCATTAGTATATATGAAGGTAATGTATATAATATGCCAATTTTTTTATCATTTCAATAGAATTATTCAAAATAAATATGTTGTTTTTTATATATATCTTTGTTACAAATAGGGTTATTAGTTTTATGTGATAATTTTACTATTTTCTTTATAAACAGGATGTTATTAAATAAAATTTAATTTAGATATTGAAGACAATTAGTAAGTCTAGAATATTTTACAACAAAGATGCCCTTTACTTAGAGTAACTTTATTTTAAACTAACTATTAGATGATAGCTTTTGTTAGATACCTTGTAAGAAAAATATGAAATGGTATTTTATAAAGAAAAGTATCTCAGCATTTTTCACTAATTTTGCGTATATTTTTGATAGGACTCATAAAAATAGATTCTAAAGTTAATATTTAGAATTAATAACAGTAATAAAATATAAACAGATATATAAAAGAAAATTTTTATGTTAAAATATAAAAAATTAAAAAAATGTAATAAAAGTGGTTGAGTAGATAATATATTACAATATACATACATATATGTCGCTTAATAAGAATGGATGAAATGGTTCCCGAAATAGTGAATAGACAGTTAAATATCAATGAGGAAACACATTACTGGTTATTGGGAGGAAATTGATCGTAATTGACAACAAAAACTAGGGTATAGATGTTGTATCAACAATAATAAAATAATATATAAAACTTTAACTTGTATTTTAAAAGGCATTTTCCTGTTAGGTACATATCTTTTAATTTTTTTGTAATAATGCAGTTATTAAATGGTATTTCGAAATCAATTTGGAAAAACAATATTAATTTATTACTTGCTATATGTTAATAATTTGCTTTTCTTATTACTAGTGAAGTACTATTTATATAGAGAATATATATTTTTTAAGTCTAAAGTAATAAATCTTTAGTAATAAGTTATGACTTTGTTTTGTGATTTCATAATAATCTATTTTAATCTGTTTCGGTCCCAAATATAGTTTGACCGGTCCAAGTTGTGGTCAATAAACTGTTATTATGTCGAGATGAGACTACCCTAAGAACACAAACCCGCTTTATAGCTGAGTAGACATCAGTTGACTATCACTGTACTAGGATAACCATGGTCAATAAAATCTTTGGATATTTCTGCAAATAAAACTTTATATAGTTTCATTGCTAATACTAACAATTTTTTTATGTACCATCCCTTTTGTGTCCATTATTTTATCATTCTTCCGACAATTACTGAGTTATACCTAAGTTTTTGAAATTAACAAAAATGTAATCGTCATAATAGTTTCAGTACATATTTTTTATTTATTTTATATACAGACAGGATATATTTACTTTGGATTTATATTGCCACCTGCTACTTTTCTCGTAGCAACGTGTAGAGTGTCTTATTGTCAAGAAATATTTTTACACATGTACCTTACATAAAATTATATGGTCTTCGTGGGAGTCCCACATAAAACATATATTGCATCCCACAAGATATAACTAGAGGCCTAAGGACAAATTGTGATAAATTTACAATTGTAGCAACGCAAAGAAATGAAGCACTTTTCTTTTTAAAACATCTCGATGCTCGAAAACTTAACGAAGAAGATTATATTAGAACATTGGAACACCAAAAAAATTAAGTGCTGAGTATATGAATCATGCTGTTATTACCAAAAAAATAAAAAAAATTGGGATTCCGATTAGAAAAATTAGTGATGGATAACGAATGAATCGATAAAAAATAAACATATAAATCAAATAAAAATATATTTAAAACAGACTAGACTAGTCTATGACTAGAATAGTTTCCATTTTAAGCTTATAGTATAAAAGTATACAAAGTGATTAAAATTTTTGATACAGTAAATTAACGTTTTAAAAAAATAGCCCTTTGTTCTAAAAGAATGTGTAGGTAAATAGAATATTACATGCTTATGTCAATACACATAAACATATTTAAAGAATTTGACATTATTCATATTTTTTTAAATATTTAAATTATTTCTTTGAACAATCCTTTTATCGTTTTTAAATATGTAAAATGTTTAAAACCAACAAATGAAATGTATTAAAACATAGAGCAAGATATTTAGAATAACAAAAAGATATTTTCGACTATTTTTTAACTATTGAAATACTCAAACATTGCTTCATTAAAGTTTTAATCAAATTATCGAAAAACTAGATAAAAATACTCAATTTAAATGCAATTTTATATATTTTTTCTAATAAATCCCTAAATAATAGTATAGTGTTACAATAATCGTGTTTCTTGTAAGTGTGACTAATACTCGCGTCACCGGACGAAATAAACGCACAGTTCCGTAGTGGCGTAACAAATAAGACGTACGATTTAAAAACAAACAATATATTAACAAAATTTTATAATAGCCCAAATTAAACACAATATACTCTAAATGCATTAAACATAAAGAGTTTTATATCATTAAATACATTCTTAAGCTTTCGTAACTTATTTACTTTATTTGTTTGGATATTAAATAATATTTTTATCCATAAAATTACTATGAAAATATTCAGTCAAAAGTATGTAACTTAAAGAATTTTATACTAACGCCACACCCACGTCAATTAGATCATTCAACAAAATTCTTACAATCACGATTTTTATCTTCACACAGCTTTTAAGCCAATTTGGTAAAAGCAATTGTCTTTATCTGATAATTCAATTATTTCAGTTAAAATGTAATTAGACTATATAAATATATAAGAAACTTAATAGGAAAAGACAGTGAAGAGAATTCTATGAAAAATATGATATTATTAGCCTGTAATAAAACGTCGTGACAAAGGAATAGTTTATACAACGAAGTCTTTGATCCATTCATAATGAATAGTGTTCAGTACTTCAATATCCTGCACTAGAATTTCTTCATTAATTTAGTTTAAGTCAGCCTTTGTTTTCATTATATATTATTATGAAGTTCACTCGAAAATTACTTCTATTCATAGCTGACATTTATTACGCCATTTTTAACATAAAATAATATATTTTTGTTATTTTTAAAGGAAAGATAATATGAAAATCAATCTCGTGTATGAAATATAGAGCTGTCTATACGATTAATCTTTGACCTGCGCGCGCGCATCATAAAGGTCGCGTTAACAAAGCATACTGATGTCTGACGGTAGTGGTCAGTGTGTGTGGTGCAAGTGGTAGAATAGGACGTGTTAAATAAATAACAATGCTGTTCATACTTACCATCGCTCTAACACTTGCTAGTGGTCAAGCTAAATTCTACACAGACTGCGGTAAGTCATTTAAATAATTCTTCTACTCAGTTTCTATATATTAAAATGGGATTATATTTACAAAATGATAATTGTTTTACGTTTTTCATGTGTATAAAGTTTCAATGTACTTGTTATTTTTATGAATCATTGTATTGAACGTCAGTAATTAACAAATTAGTTCAACCCTGATGTGTTATTGCGATAACAGAAACGTATTATTGTGATTTCCAAAAACTATATTAAAATATTAAATAGTAAACATAATTAACTTTATTATATAAAATGTCATCTTTTACCAAAACACTTACCCATAATTTCGATATATATCATTAGAAAAATAGTATGTCGTTAAATTAATTAAAATAATAGCTACTATTATTAACAATAACATATATTATTTCATACTTATAATATATAACATATACTATATTTTGATTGCTAGATTCATTACGCTTACAGAATTATATAAGCATACTTACCACGAGTTTGAAGTCATACTACATCTTCTTCTTCTACCTGGCAATTTCCCAGTTATAGCCAGGGTCTGCCTTACATGTTGTGAATAGTTTTGGTTATTTTTTTTGTATGACCGGCCGCCTGCCTGATATCAACCCTCTTTTGGAATAAATCTCTAGTCTTACATATAAAGCGTTAAAAAGTTTTTATTTCATAACCTTCGTAGCTTATTGAATGAGAAACGGAAAACGCGGCGTATGTAGTATTACGTTACAAACTCGTGCTAAGAACACCGGTTCCGCTCAGATTGCTTTGTTATCTACATTTTATAATAACACACAATTTTTATAACTCTATATTATTTGAAAAGAATCATGACATCAAATATTTTATTTATTAAAGTAAGCTAAAAACTTGTTAGTATATTAGAATTATTTAATATTAATATGTGACAACATATAAAGTTTGTAAAAATATGGATTTAATTTAAATAGAATTTGTATAAATCCGTGAAAAAGTTGAGATAATTTCAATAAAGTAATGCAAAATCGTGAATTGATTCTTTAAGTTTGATATAAATATAATTGCGTAAGACCGATGAATAAGCAATTTCTATATGTCTTTTTATATGTAATAAAAGTTAATAATATATATATATTATATTTCTATTATATATAATGTAATATAACAGTATACATATATATTAATTAGCAATACATATTATATTACGTAGAACCAAATCAGACTACTTACACTACATTACATAAATACATAATAAAATATAAAAAATAACGTGGAAATAAGTTAAAAATATAACAAAAATGTTAAAAAGAAATACATCTCAAAGTAAACAATTGTTTGGTTTTAGTTTTTAAAATAATAGAAAAGATAAAGGGCTTTTTTGTAATTTTGTTTGTATGTCTGTGTTTTACCATGAATTTATACATTTTTATAAATTGACGCGAAAAAGGAAAGAATTACATATGTATGATCACGGTTAGGTACCGTTCTTACAATAATTATAGTATAATATATTGGATTTCTTGTTAAATGAAATAGACAATTAGTAGTGATTTAATAAATCAAAATTTGATCATAACTATGACGAAATCTAGTCTACAAACGAATACATTTTGGTGAAAAATAGTATGTATTTTATTTATATATTCTTATAATTTAAAGTCAAATAATAAAAAAATCTCACACATTTAACATATAAATAATATAACTATATAATGAAATAAAATTGTCTTATCTCTTTATTATTTTAACATATAATCTTTTACTATTTCTGTCTATCTGTTTATTCAGTAAAATCTCTTAAACACCCCAATCGATTTCGCCAGGATTTTAAATTCTGGATAGCTAATCTATAGATTAAGCTTAACCTATTTATATTTCCCAGTTTGTATTTACTTTCATTTATATAAACAAAGTACAAAGGTCGATAATTTATTTATAATAATTCAATGGACCTAATTTATTAAAATGTCAAAAACAGATATCCGTTTATGGGTACTGCAAGTAATTTCTATTTAAAGCTTTTACAAAAACATTGATTCTTAACATGGGATTGTTTTCTTTTGATAGCTAGCTGACCCGACAAACGTTGTTTGCCATATAAAAAAATAGGGATTGGTGATAAAAAAGTAAAATTTTTGAGTTTTATATATTTTTTTAAGCTAGGTACATTGTAAAAAAAAGAGTGAACAACTTATAACTTAGGGGTATGCAAAATAGATGTTGGCCGATACTCAATATGCTCAGAAAATTTCATAAAAATCGGTCCAGCCGTTTCGGTGGAGTTCTCTGTCTAATACCGCGACACGAGAATTTAATATATAATATTATTACATTTCATAATATACAAATATTCAGTTATTATGTATATCTTTAAGATATATTTAAAATGTCTAATCTTTTAAAGTAAATGTTTTGCAAGTGATATTAAATATTGCGTTGTAAGTCAACTCCTGGATGACGTAAACGGCTGCCCTTGTTGTATTTAATCCAAGGCGGGATCAGTTACAGTAAAATGCCAATGAACTTATATTAATATATTATAATCAGATTTATTTTGCTTTGAGAGTCGTTTGTTAATAATGAGACCTAAGATTTTCGGGAGAATTTATTTAAATGAAACAAATTTTTTCGGATGTACTACATATGCGATTTTTATTTTTATCATAAACTACATACTCCCGACAACGTTTCGGTTACTTTACAGCAACCGTGATCACGGGCAGACGAGATCAGTCATTTGTAAAATTGTTGAGTATTATTAATTTGTCAAAATGTTAACAAAATCGACAGTTTTAAGAAAAATATGTATTAAATTGTATGATATTGGTAAATCTGAATTCAATCTATAGGTATCTAAGATAGTCATGCAAACTACAATTCAAGAAAACTCAATGAATTAACTCAAAAACTATTAGTGTTTTCGCTAACTCTTTCAGTATTGCAGTTAGTTATTTCGTATTTATATATAATACATATATACTATACATGTGTATATACGCTTGTTTTCAGTTTTAAATATGTAGTCAACGTTTCAATATTATACACCGACGAGTTTTTCATTCGATTAATTTTATTCATTTTATGGCCATCAAACATATATTTTGCTTCATTTGTTTTGGACAGTGTTTTCCACTTCGAATATTCATACATTTTATACTATGTACAAATGGAAAAAACTTTTTGAAATAATGAAAATAAATTCATCATAAAATAGCAGTTCTACTATGAAATGGACGATCTGAAAAGAAGAAAAAGAAATCTTAAAACCATTTTAAAATGGGAAAGTAGGCATACGGGACTCTGATAACTTAACTACTTTTTCGTTTGCTGTTGGGTAAAACAAAGAGACAAGATCTTCTAGATTATATGGCTTTATTTAGATATTTATTCATTAATTCATTTACGTATAGTGCCATTAACATAATCATAGCATTATCATTATCGTTGACCATGATATATTTATTTTGCCAAACTCTCAAATATTGTATTAACCATTTACAAGCAACAAACATACATTAAAATTGTAACAAAATTAATATTACATTATTAATATGACAGCCATTAGTTTGCGGTCCTCATAAGCTTATACGAACTTTAGTTTTTAAAACATTTACGAAGCTGGGTGTTCAAACATTAAATTTGGGACGAAAATATTTATATAGAAGTTTTATTTTATAACTTATTTATTATTTATTTGAACCAAAATTAACCAAATTATTTATATAAATAAACTTAAATGAATATTTTTAATCAAAATAACAAAACAACGGAATGCATACGAATATATAATAGTGAATCTCTATATTGAAACTTATTTAATTAAATTGCTTATAACAAAGAACTTTAAGCACATTGAACCTGAAACTAAAGATGTTTACTTTAAAGCCTTATCTTGTCTGACTTATTTACTATTAATTAAGATGTTTTTGATAAGAGCACGTAAATATTTATTATACGTGTGCATTTAAAACAAAAAAGAGATCGCTAAAAGTTTTTGATTCATTGATCTTCGCACATTATTTATTAGGTACATATTGGAAAAAAATCGGAAACACTTTGTACGTATTGACAAAAACAAAGCCAGAAAAACCAAAAAAATAAAATTTTATTGGTTTTTCTGGTACAAAGCAGTACAAATAAACTTCACGTCACGGCTCATGGTAGTGCAACCAATTGCCACGTATCAATATGAAGTAGATACAACAATAGTGTTTGTTCCTCGCGGCCTATCAAGTGTCAGGTGACATTGTAACTGATGTCATATTATTATACAACTATCAAATGACACGTTCAATAGTTTGATCTGTGATTTTTTTGACAAAATATAAAGTTTTTAACCCGGGAAATAGGATTATTCTGTTTCTAAGTCTTTCGTTTGTCATTCATTCAATAATTCATTTCGTTTTGCTTGCAATATAACGTGTTTCCTTAGCTCTTTACAACATTAAGGACTGACTGTGTCAGTGTTTTTATAATGATACATTAATGAAAATCTTCAAACGAAAGGTCGCAGAATAATTTTCGGTATAGTATTGCTTAGTTTATCATGTAAACTGTTCAATCTTGCTATAATTTTATACAATAATATTATAATGATCAGATCGTATTATTATAATCATCCTGTTAAAATCACGCACGTAAAAATGGCGTATCACTAATATAAATAAAATATTACTTTAATAATATTAGATTATTAAATATATTTACGGAAAATCTAGAAATTATTATGTAATCTTGATTGATGGTTTTAAATTCTGAATACATTGTAATATCTAGACAACTCGCACTCTCGACCGGAACCAACAATTTTCCTACAACTCAATGATTCTCAAGAAATTCTAGTCTTAAATTGCAACACAAATTACCGTTGATTTAACTTAAAGCGTGTATTCATTTGTCGTCAGACTTTCATACAGAATATAAATAACTAAGCGGTTCAATTAGTTTCTAGTAAGTTAAAAATTATTAATGTATACTCAATTGAATCTGAAAAATAACCATAGCAAATTACAGAAAATAATTTGTAGTCATTAATTATAGATATCAGTAGTATCATTAGTTCCTTAAATTTATACTGAACCTAAAAACTGAAAATTTGAAACAAAAGGTCCCCTAAAAATCTCTTTGGACTATCGGAGATGACAAGTCTTGAAATTTTTATTCTATATATCAAGTACGAAACACTTTGCGGCAGTGTAGAATTGATACCAAAAGTAGAGATCCAATATTCATCATCATCACCTACACATAGCTAAAATAGAAACTGCTTCTCATGATAGCATCAATATCTGATAAAAGATTTTCGTAATAATGCTGCTATTAGTGACGCGTTATTTCCATATACTCTTATTTCATATCTCTACCAACTCCTTATGTTATCCTAAAAAGTTTATGCAAATTTTTCTGATGCCAATTCCAGGGTCTAAGCTGGCGACTGTTAAAAATGTCGGGGTGAGCGGATGTGCCGAGGATGCTAAGGAATGTGTGCTGAGAAGGAATACCAATGCTACGATTAGTGTCGACTTCGTACCATGTGAGTCCTGAAGACATTCTAGAATAAATCCATATTGATTGAATTCATATAATTGCAGTAAAAAACAATTTGGAGCACGTCAAAAAGCTTTACAATCAGCTTTAATCAGTTCTAATACATCAATTATTTCAGCAATGATTTTTCGGTACACGCCAAAAGTTATTGTGTTAGCAAAAAGTATTATATTAAAATCTTTGACGAACCTAATTTCATGTATGTGCTTATGATTATCTACAAATTTTAGCCACCGACGCCGCTACTCTTGAGACGGTGGTACATGGTATCATCATGAACCTACCAGTGCCTTTCCCGATGCCTCAACCGGATGCCTGCAAGGATTCAGGACTCAACTGTCCATTAAAGGTACTTAAATCTAACGTTCAACTTATTTAACTTTAGATAAATCTTATTTTAGATTCCATGCTTCTGTTTTTTTTTTATATTAAATTAATTTTGCATGAATATTTAAGTTATATACCTTCGAATTCTTAAAGAAACTTATTAAAAAAAAGATATCTTTTTCTCAAAAAGTAAAAGTACTGAGAGTAATTCTATCCTTCTTATATTATTGTATAAAACTTTTCAAATAAAATCATAAAGCGATTCAACTATTATCGTAACAAAAATAGATATTGTTCCTTCGTTTCCCAAAACTACGCTAACAATTTAACTTAACAACTTATTGTGGATAAAAATACGTTTTTTATGTCCTAAGTAAAATAATATCTACTTTATATAGGCATGTTGCTATTGTACCCTTAGTTTTAGTTTTCAGAACCCATGACTACCGGTAGTAGAACCGCGAATACCAATGTTTTTCATTAGCCCTAATAAGACTTAATTTTAAACTGCCGTTTTCTATAAAAAAAACATTGAAAAGAATTTGTAATAAAGCGAAGTTCAACTGCATTGAATAAATAATTTATAATATTTCTTTTTTTTTATACAGTAATATGTTTATTTAGAGTTTGTAAGCGATTTCTTGATTCTTCTTAAACTAAGCTTCTAACTGAAAAGTAAACGAAATAGATACTTTTATAATTCCCTTTATTATTTTATTATTCCATTTAAATATAAAACAGTAGTTTTTAGAATATGCACTAAACAATTCTATTTTACAGGCCGGCGAAGAAGCGTTTTACAAAACGACAATGCCAGTTTTGAAATCCTATCCCAGAGTAAAAGTTGAAGTTAAATGGGAACTTAAAAACGATTCTGGAGACTACGTTTGTATCATGATACCAGCAAAAATTAATTAAATTTTGACATTAATATAAACCAAAGACAATAAAGCTGTCTATGATAGTAACCTTAAGAAGATTAAAAAAGTTCCGATAAATTTAATGTTTGTAATGTGTATTATAAGTATTATTAAATTAAAAACGAAACTATATTTTCCTTTGTCTGTCCATAGAAAACGCTAGATTACAAATAACGTACAAATGTTAAAAAACTTAATTTCTGACTTTATTATTTAAGCACAAGTTTATATAAATCTAGGACTGTTATAGTAGTAATATTATTGATAAATTATCCAAATACATTAACCATAGAAACATGTATACACATTTTTTTTATTTTATTATATACATTTGTTTTTCTCTTTTGATTTTTTGTATTTTTTAGGTTGATTAAGTAAAATTTGCTTAACATTTTTTCCAAAGCTATAGTAAAAAATAAAAACTAAAACTATTTTTGTGTTTTATTTCCATTTAGATTTATAAGTGATAATAGTTTCATAAGATTTGATGTAAACAGAAATATTCTAAAATGTTTTAAGTTAATTACTTTTTTACATTGGTGGTTAGCCTAACTCTCGGACAATATTTTATTAGGACCATGAACGACACAAATGTTAAAATTGATTTACTGTTATTTTAAAATAAATTATAAAATATACAAAATCACAGATAAAATAAGAAATATAATAAAAAATCTTTTTTAATAGAATGGAATTAAAGACGTGCGAGGGTATTCAAAATAATCTAATATTTTCGGATTACTACGCGTATTCTATTTTTTTTTAAAACTACATTCTTCCGAATTTTCGGTTACTTTGTAGCAACCGTGATCACATCTCGTCTGCCCGTGGTCAAGTTAGTTCTAGAGAGTACCCGTTAGTTGTCAAGGAATGAATAAGAAATGGATATATGTAGTTCTGATTTTGCTTTAAATGGTTAAGACCACTTATGTCTTCAGGTCCTCATAAAGTTATGAATATATATTAAAATAAGGATCCTGAATCAGAACGTTATTATCTACTAATTTGCACAATAATTAGGAATATTTTTCGTTATCGTTTTACAGGAAAACTCTTCATATATAATTTTCTTGTTATTATAATGCTAAAGCTTTCTAGAGGAATTGTACTTATAGGTCAGTTGGGAAGTTTTAGTAAGGAAAAGAATTAATAAAAAGACATTTTCTTTCATTTATAGTTTATGTATTCTCATGTTTATGTATAAAAATAATTACATATTGACTTAACATTAAATATATCTATAAATGTATGGCAGTACATTATGTTCATGTTGATAAGACTAGTTATTATAAAAATAAAACAATATTGTTAGCAAATAATATTTTCAGTCTTTCATATACTATTTTAATTGAACTTAATTATATCAACTAAAAACTTACATTTTAATGAAAGATAAAAAACAAAAATCTTTTTTAAACTATGTGGCAACACTTTCAAAAAGCACAGATAATAAAAAAATATAACGTTTGACATAAATTTTTCCATAAAATACTATGAATATCAATAAATCCTCCTTCTTATATTTAAAATATATATTTATTAAAATATGGCGTCTTCAATCTATTTAGTATGCATGACCGAATTATTAAATTCAAATATAATTGAATTTATCACTTCTTCTTAATAGATCCTTTACAACGACAGCACATTTGTTGATTTTTATCTTTCTTGAAATGTATGTTAAATTCTTGTTTAAATATCTTTCTATACATGGATTCCTTAACAGGTATTGTATTTTCTTTCTCACATTCAGTTACATACATAGTGTACATCTGCTTTATACTCAAGTTGCATTCCAAATATTGTTTTTTCCTTGAAAATTGCTTAATAGGCTTTGAGTCTACTGTATGAAAAGACATTATATGTGAGCGAACTCTTTCCTTAATTTCCGTTGGCAAGCTGTGTGTACTCGTCTCAGAAAGCCCTCTACCATCAGGCTTTGGCAAATTCACATCAGATTTACTTAAATGCACATTATAAACAGGTTTTTGAGATATAGCTAGAGTGCCTAAATAGAAATTCTTACACACAGTGTATCTAACACCTCTTACTAGAAAGAAATATTTAAAGGAATACTTTCTTTTGTGGTCAGCATCCAATACTTTGTTATGTTTAGTTGTATTTCTATCTGTTGTGTTAAGCAGGAAATGTTTCTTTTCATTGGCGTTTAACGAATAGAAAGCTTTGAATATAAGCTGGCGATCTACATCGTTGATTCTTTCATTGCATTTATATCGACATGATTTCAAACAGTCTTTTGTATTTCTAACTTTTCTTTCAGGGACATACTTGCCCCGACGATTGATATAAGCTTCTCCCCTTTGGTGTTTTAGCTTGCGTACATTGCAAGCCCACTTGCTTGGGTTTGGGACCTGACTTCGGGATCTTTTCTTCACAGTTAGAAGTTTTTCTACTTCCACATGAGTTATATCTTCAGTCTTACACCTGAAATTATTTACATCCAAGTTAAAAATTATTATACTAAATCATTTTATATTCAGCGCTCTTTATAAAAAGAGAATTAACCTACTTATTTACTATAATTAACTGTATATAACTAGATTTCTTTCTATTGTAGTCTATTTTGAGTATATTGTATAGTTATTTAATCTCTTTATTGTACTATGCAACACTCCTACATTAATTTAAAATTTTACAGCATAGCCAAAAAACTATTAAAGATAGTGGGAATAGGTAAATTAAAATGTTAGACATATTGATTGTATGTTAATCCTAAATTCTAATATAATAATTTTCATTGTGCATACTCACACTACTTCCTTTTCATTTGTCATCTGAACCGCCGGTTCAACTTTAGCAATAACACATTGTGCATCTTTAACATACGTCTCATATGGTCCATAGTATGATTGGGACAGGCTGTTATTTAATAAATGCTGCTTAAAAACGGGCACCTGCGGCAGAATTACGTGAGAAGTGATCTGCAACTGGCTCATATCACCCTGTATAACCTGGGAGGTCAGTTGTTGAACATTTTGCAGCGGTTGGACATTTTGCAGGTGTATCTGATGACACACAGTCTGATTCTGTGATATAAGATGTTGATTCGATATATCGTGTATGTGCGATGTTACTGGTATGTGGAGGGATTCAGATGTAATCGTCTGTTGATAGGAAACTTTACCCTGAGACTGCAAAGACGGGTGAATTGACACAGACGGTGGATAGATCTGAACTAAATGCGGCAAACTAGCCGGAACTTGCATTTGATCCATTGATTTTCTATTATATAAATATTTAATAAACTCAAAATCGTTTGGAATTTTTTTAATGATTCGCTATGTTATATAGCTTAATTCTTAAATTACATCAACTTTAATGTATCTATAAATACTTTTTGTAATTCTTATGTTAATAATGAGAAGATAAAGTTGCTTCAAGTATTTACAAACAAAACATACTATGCCACAGTTCTATCTCACTAGCAAAACAAAACAATATGGTGGCCAATGACCACGAGTTAGTGATGTAACATTTTTTATTGCCATATCATAAAACCGGTAACTTTATTAACCGATATATTTGTATACACAAATTATTTTTTTATAAATATCCTAAATGCATATAAAATATAAACATTGCTTTCATATATATTATTTTTTAAGTTTATGAAGATAAAATAAACGATTTATAAGGAGAGATAATAAAATAAATCCATATAATTGGCACTTTTTAATAAATTTAACAACAAACAAACACGTTCAAGATTAGTGTAATGTTAAATTATCATTCAATGACCTAATCTAAACATATTCCCATCTGTCATAACACCGATAATCCCTTGTAAATGCTATAATTTATTATTTCTCAATTTACAAGTAATTATCTTATCTTTATTTACTATTAAATAATTATATTATCATATATACACAATGACGCGTTATGTTCTTAGCATCTCAAACTGTGAACTACATTCAAGTATACACTTATAGATAGTCGTATTAATTGCGTCATATTACCGCAACTTATGTAATATTGTTCTGTAGAATAGTAGAATAACATTAATGCAATAATTGCTTATACAAGTTATTCAATTACCAATATATTTGTAATACATTTCCAATTTATTATTTTGACTATGGAACTCACAAAATATATATTTTTAATATAAAGTTTTCGGTTGAAATTTATTTTCAAGGTAGTTGTAAACGTAATCGTACACAACCAACATTATCGCACCACCGGGACCCAGTCTGAGGACCTTTGGTAATAAACCTTTGTATAATGCACGGAATCTGAAAAAAATAATTCACAATATATATTTACATTACATTAATAACATAATTAATCATACTGCAAATTAACAAAAATAGAAATGACAACAATAAGATCATTGACACGCTCCCAAAATACACTAGCGTGCAAAGATTAAGACATACTCGTGCATACTAAGATATAGTGTGTCTGAATTAAAATATACTACAGATTAAGTTTAACGAGGAAGTGTAGAGGAAAATCTTCAGCATTAGTAATGGAAATGCATTTATTAGTGAAAGATATGACGATAATTGGACGAGATCCAAACAACCTGTTTGCTTGCATTTGAGAAAATACGATTGCAACGAGTCTTGAATGCATCGTAACTTCATTTTGTGGTTTAATTTTATCTTAACCTATATGTTATATGTAATATATACAATACTTTCGGTTATATGAAAAACAATAACATATACTATTAATAGATTTCGTTTAGATACTGCAAGGATATTTATGTAAGTTCAAAGACAAATATATTCTTTTAATGAAAATCATTTAAATTTCATTAATGGTATTAATTAAAATAGCTAATACAGGAAACACTATATGGATTCCTTTAAAACAACTTGTTATAGTCGAAGTACAGTATTGTAAAATTTGTGATTCCTAACATGATTCTTAAATATAAAACTATTTATAATTTGGATGTCTTCAACAAAAGAGTTAATTGGCTGATAATGAAATAGTGGCTTCACTAGCAATCATAACATTTCCACCTTCCAACAAGTAGAATAACAGTTAAACACTTTCCAGTTAAAATAAATAATAAAAAAATTATACAGTATGTAAATAAGTTCTTTTAATACATACCCTTCCTCTTTATACACTAACAGTATAGCGTTAGTGGTGGAACTGTATTTGATGATGCCGGGAGTCGGCTGAGGACCCTGGATTCGACTCTTGGCTACATCAAAGGGAATATTCACACATGACCCTAGAACACCTGATGTGAAACCAATGGCCACCTTACGACCAAACTCTAGCAAGGAGTCCTTGGAAACAGAAAAAATAATATTGATTTTAATATACCAGAATTACGAATAATCATATATACACATATTATAATATTAACACTAGTTATCGCACCTGAAATCGTGCACGTGCTGGGGAATTAAGCCCAGAAGAAATATATAGTGTTTAAACAATAGACATGATAAGCAATTTATAAACTGATTCACGTGACTACATGCTATAAAAATTGTATGTCTTAGCAAAGCAGTTAATTTATAAAAAATGCAATAAGTTATAGCTTATGTCCTGTTTTATTGTGTCAGCTATGTTATTGTAAAGTTTCATTAAAATCCGTTTAATAGTTTCTGCGTAAAAGAACAACAAACATGTATATATAAATGAAACTAATATTTTCGGATTTTTACTTCGCGTTTTTATTTTTGATTATGAACTCAATGATTAGATGCTCATCTACCTGTGATCACGGTTGCTTAAAAGTAGCTGAAACGTTGGGAGTATGGAGCTCATAATCAAAAATAAATACGCGAAGTAAAAATCCGAAAATATTAGTTTCATTTGTATATAGTCATACACTTTCGCTTTTATAATAGCAGGATATGGGGTAATGGGTATGGTGTATATATGTATTTCTTATTTCATAATAGATCGTTATTTAAATCGTAAAACAGAGACAACAGTTGTGTGACAGACGAAAAGGTTATCAAGAGTGTGATTAAATATAAATATTTAAAATTCAGACGAACAAGTAATTACGATATCATGGTCCAGATAATTATAAAACGCATATCATTCATCACATAATTCTTACAAAACAATTAAAGACTCGTTTGATAAATAAATATCTAACTCATATAACAACAGTGATAAAATTACAGAGATCATATTTGTTGATTTTTATCGCTGTCACTGATACACTAATAGTGTTTACATGAGATAAAAGGTACTAACGAGTTCAAAATGTACTTGGATGATCAGAAAATGTTCAACTCACTTCGCACTCCGGCAGATATCCTTTGACACTGTGATAGAAGCCGAAATAAACCATGTTGAAGATGCCATTCCTGGCCATAGTAGCTGTCAGACCTTTGTTAAGACCCCTAAACCCTAGACCATTTTCTCGTACTATTTGCCTCGTCACAGACCAAGTGCTTGGCACTTGTGCAGCCAATGCCCTGTTTGATTGTAACGTAACTTTCACCACTTCAAATGGATTCACTAATAACGCCTCAGTGATTCCTGACCCTAGACCTGCTAAGGCAAAAGTCTGGAACAAGAATTATTAAAAGATTTTTTTAATATGAAAATAAAATAAAAAAAGTACTTGCATCTTTTCTATTGCTTAAAAATGGGGATTAATTGTGAACCCTAAATGGTTTTTTATGCTTTCGTGTATATAATGCGTTTGATTTAAGCTGAGCTTTGCATTTGTGTGAGTGTACACGGATAGTGTAGGTGTGATGTCAAATTTTGTAATGTCTCGTTCTTTTCAAGTTTTGAACCGGTTTATTCTGCTTTTGCTCCGCCCCGCACATTCTGCATTTCACCCTTTGTAATGGTATCAACTTCAAATGTTGAAAACGCAATGTCAAGTGAAGAAGAATATGTATAGTTTTTTCAAAAAATTTATTAATTAATAAGTTTTTGCCATATTATTCATAATATTTCTATCTGGCCTTTTACAAGTTTTGCTTATTTTATTTTTAATCTAGAATAGCTCTAGCGCTTATGTTATGTATCTATTTAAAAATATAATAAAATGTAATTCTAAAAGTTTTTTGTCTAACTCTACTTTTACTTTCACTCACACAAATGCAAAGCTCAGCTTAAGTCTAATGGACTATACCTTAATATTAAAAAAGCATTAATATATTTTTATAGTTGTAGGTATTTACAAGGTATGGCTTACTTCTATAAAGAAATATAAAAATACGGCCAGTATGAAACAATAAATTTTATAGTAAAATTTTCCGATAAATCTTTGCGATTTCTTTTACGTTTTCAAAATGTTGTCAAACTCACTTTCCTTTACAATTTAATTATCTAATTTATATTTTTTAAATATTGTAGGAATTGTGATCGATCAATTTAAAATAATTGAAATAAAAAGTCTATTGAACATACCACAGGAGCTGGCGTGTTTGCCCCAAAGAAGAATATTTTCTTATATTGCTCGAAACAAACAAATTTTACTGCACGTTTCGGGGTTTCAGCCAAAATTGGTGGTAAAATTCCTTTCCAGAATGACGTCAATCCTTCATATTTATACATTTTCTTCATGCAATCAACTATTCCATTATAATGATGGGGATCTACGGCTTTTGGTGATGATTTCGCTGTTGCTTGTAATTGTAATCTAGTCTTGACGAGGTCCAGAGGATGCATTATGCATACTTCTATGAAACCAGCACTTCCACCAGCACCTATTTGCATAGCTGCCTGCTTTAAAAGTTTCTCAATATCTGCCATTTTAAATTAATTAGCAATATTATAACACTTATTACACAGTAGTAATACTATTCAGGTAACCATTCCACTTTAAGCGATCGTTGCATACTGCACAACTATGAGTTTTATTTTAAAAACGTAAAAAAATTGCGCCTTCGTATGTTGACACATTTTTGCTAGTGATTGCATAAAAGTTCTGTAAACCGTCAAATCATCGGTTTTCGAACAATTATTGAAATACTTTATACATACAGCAACTCTTACAATACGTCAAACAGTAAATTGTAATCATTTGAAATGTCAAGCATTGAAAGTAATATCGAGTTCTGTATTACAAATATATATACTTAAATTTTTCACTATTGTAATCTTAATACTTCTATAATGTAGCCTTTTGTCATGACATTATTAATATATAGTTAATTCACACGATATCTGCATGAATTAAAAGATCGATGTCCATAAAGTCTGTTTTCCTGTGTATTCTGTCATACAAAATGGCAGGAAAAAAGAAAGACTTGCTTCTGGACGTAAGCTGATGTGAAATATGAATATTAGTTATAAATAGACAGTGGAGTGGTTGTTGAAAGTGTTAATGGTACAAATGTTGATTTAGTGTATAAGATGGGTTCTCAGACGTTAGAAATATTGCGTCAAGGTATATGGGCTTCGTTAACTGGAGGGTGGTTCTATGATCCACATCAGAATTTGTTTTGCAACACCGTGCATTTGTATATCTGGTTGTTTCTGCTATGCCTTCCGTTCTCAGTGTACCTGGTGAGTATCTGCATGTATTCCATGTAAAGAGGTTATTGTACTGTTTTTTGTTGTAATCAGGTCAATATATTGTTTTTTTCGTTTCGTTGTAAATAATGAGTAATCATTGGTTATTGAACACATGTTCAGTTTATTTCATTCGTAACTTATTGGAGGTATATCTTAACTTCTCATAGATTTATTTATGGTCAGAATTTTTAGGTATTTTAATGTTTACTCAACAGAAACATATTACATATGTATTTTTTTTTTGCATATATCACAATTTTTTTGTGCCCCTTTTATAAAAAAAAAATGAACCATATAATAACAGTAATATTAATAATTCATATTATTTTTTAAAATCATGTGAAATATCTAAACTAACCTATAACTATAATGTTTTTAATGTATAGATAAAATATAGAATATTTGTGAAAGATTTTTATAGCCATATCATTTCTTAGCTTTCTGCCAAGAAATAAAAGTTATTTTGCAATATGAGGAATGTGAGTATAAAAAAATACCACATATTTGAATGTTTTTTTGTGTTAATATGTATTATTTTTCCTTAACAACATTTAAATTAGAGATTAAAGGATAGCAGTTAGGCCGGATACCTGATAAAGAATATTTGGCTTGGTGCAAAACCAAGGTGCTGGATTTGGCCACCAGATAACTAATCAAACCTTTCAAAAATTTTCTTAAACATCTTACATCAATGACAATGACGACCCATTCATATGGTGGTCAGTTAGTTGAAATCGGTACCCACAGTTGTCAAGGTTTGCTAGAATATACCTTTTATCACTGGCCTATAACATTTAGTGTTTTTCAAACATAAGTCTGGTATATGAAGCCAAGCGCAGTCACCCACTATTAATAAATGTGAAAAAATTGGTATTCATTCATCATAATATTCAACTAGACAATTTTGAGTACTGAAAATAGATAAAAATTGTCTATAAAATATTGTGATATCATTTGTCTTGTGTAAAACAATGAGGTTTTTATTCTATTATGCAAAATCTGGCCTGATTCTGAATTACTAGCATCTATTGTTTCATCTCTAATTTAAATCTATATTAGATTTGTACTCTTCATAAATATTCTATTATTAAATATTCATCATTATTATTTAACATTTTATTTGAAAGTATGAACTAATAAGTTTATAGTCTAACAAAGATAAGTTTGAAAATTCCATAAGAACAAATAGATTTAATTCTTAAAGGTAAACCATGTATAAAAGGTCTATCTTAGAATGTTGTAAATCTAGTGATGTTTATTTCAATTTATCCTGTTATTCAGAGAATATTGTTTATTATTCATATATGTATGTATATTTTGAACTTGAAATATTGAAATATATGAAACTTAAGTGTTTTTCATAGTAATGTAGAAGTTAATTCGTCTTTCAGTATTTTCCCCCCGCAAGTCTTGGCTGGCTGATCTACTGTGCGCTCGTGGCTGTGTTGTTTACATCACTCAAGTTAATAAACCACAGTCTTCACCACATATATGATACAAATGAACTTATTGTCGTCCAGTCTGCCAATGAGACTGGTAATTCCAATGAAAATACCGCGTAAGTATGAGTATTATTAGCTTGTATAGTAGTAGCTTGTATTGTTTATATGTATGCATGTTCAGTAGACTATATTTTTACGATTGTTTAGTTTGTTGTCATCTCTCAGGCCGGAGGAGGGTATGGAAATGCAAACGCTTGGTGGCACAGCGGCACCACAGAGCGATAATGATTCTATCACATCACTCGAGTACCATAAGCCTAATAATAGTACCATAGGTATGTTATATCATAATAATTCTGAAATTTCTGCTTTAAAAAATTATATTTTGTGATCTAAATATATAATATAAAGAATATTTTATCAAATTCTATTGTCATCCATGTATAAGTATTGAAAAATAATAAAATTTGCATTAAAATTAGTTTAAAAAAAAAGTGTCATAAATAAAATTGCTTTAGCTTTGTTTTTGTAAATTTACTAACCAATTTAATTATTAAGTTTAATTTGTAATGTACTAACACTATATGGATCTATGCAATATGGTCTGAAATAAATGATATTATTATTATTAAAATATATATTTTTTCATTTACAGATCTCAAAGTCGATGTTCATCGCAAGAACAGTTCAGAATCTAGTGTGGATGACAGCGCGATATCTGCGAAGGTTGATACTGTCGCTATCACGAAATCTGACCTTTGTGTGGCGCAGCCCGCGGAAGTAACTGGACCTCCGAAAAACCGTCCGAATAGGAGCCGATCGAAATCAGGCCATAGAAGAGAACACAGAACAAAGAGTAGACGTGGACATGAACGTATTGAAGAACTCATCGCAGAAGAGCCTGGATACCCTCGAGAGAATAGCAACTTACCTATTCATATGCTCGTTGATGAAGGCCCATTCGCGAAAGTGAGCAGAAGGTACCACGACTGTCCGCACCGAAGAGGGTCAAGTAACAAAGACTTCTTTAAAGAATGGTTGTATTTGGATGGAAGTGAAGCCACCGGGGAGCCGTATCAATCTAAATTCGCACGCCAACTCAGTTCCGATTCAAGGGATAACTCTGAAATAAACGTCGGACCTCCATCCCCAAAGAAAAGGATGGCGCAGAGACGAAGGTATAATAACTATCACGACGAGAGTTGCACTAAATCGGCAATCGCATTGGCCACTTCCCAGTGTCCAGGTTCATATATGCGACGGAATTCTAACTCGACTATGTCGACGATACAATTGCCATTACTCAATTCCACTGCCCAACTGGTATCTCATATGCGGAGGCATTCAAATAATGCTGATACAGGGTTCTTCGCTAGTGTTGAGTTAGGTGAATATATGATGGTGAAAGCTGAGACACCGGCTTTAGATACGGACAAGGCTAAGAACAAAAGTCCAGGTGTTAGAAGGATAAAGAGTGCAGCATTGGAAATAGGTTGTCCTCCACCAAGTGTATCTAATCTATCACCTCATCCAAACAGCGCGGAGACAATTGGTGGTCAAGTGCTTAAAAACCCTAAAAGTGCAGTTATACCACCTCCAAGCAAAAGTTTGACGCGCGGACCGCACCTGAATCTCTATCCCAAAAACGAATCAGGAGAAGGCTGCAGTTATCCTTACCTAACTTATGGATCGGAAATAGTTTATCCAATAGCCGAAATATCAGATGAAATGCAAACCTCGCAAAAGGAAACGGATTTAGACTCAAGCGGAGGTAGTTATAGTGACTATGAAGATGAGAAACAGTTTCGTGGCTTCGATTGGGAGGCTGAGCAGTCTCCAGCGCTAAGATCAAGCGATTCTGATTACGAAAACAACGGCTCTAGATCTCCTCTCCTTGATAAGGTGAATGGTATAAGAATAATACGTATAAAAAATACGAGCGATTGCAGGAAGCACTGTTGTGAAAAACCTCATCACCCAAAACATAATCCAGATTGCCCGAATGAAAAATCAAAAGTTAGATTAAAAAAGAATAACAAAACAGACGGTAGGACAGAGAAACAATCCAGTACATGTGTCTGTAAATATCCACCAGCTAGTGAATATTTTGATAAAACGAGTGCTAGTTCAAAAGATTTATTGATAGAGAAATCAAGCTTAGAGTCGAATGAAAACGGCGAAGGAAACTCTACCAAAGTGACACAAGAAAAAAAAACTGTAGAAAAGAAATTATGGGACCAGGATATATCAAATACCAGTAGCAGTAGTAGTAGCGAAATAGATAGACCGGAAGATTTTAAGAATGAAAAAAATAACGTACCTGAAACAGAAGAGTCTCAATTAACATGCGATAGTAAAAGTGGAGATGAGAGAAGCGTGTATAGTTTAGATTGGTTATTTGAAGAATTACCCGAATCTAAAGAGGCTTGCTGTGTCGAAAGTTTGGGACCCGAAGAGGTATTATGCCAAAAACTTGCTGCATTGGGTGAATCCTCGTCTAATGTACCAAAAAACCTAGGTGCTATACCAAAACAGATAAAGAACTTAGCTCGCTCGCGTGCTTCCTCTCAAAAAGAGAACAAAATGAGGGATAGTAGAAAAGAAAAGGATGATAATCAAACTGAAGAGAAGATATTGATGGATGCAGTTGAAGCTCAAGCAGCTTTAGTGCAAGGATTGGAATGTCTGTTCGCTGCAACGAATGCTAATACCGTGGTTATGCCTACCACCAATCGAGAAGATAGATCCCGTAGTCACAGACAAAGTATTAGAGGAGAAAGAGATAGCACACACAAAACTAGAAAACGTTCCATTGAAGAGGTCGCACAAACATCTACAAGTACCTTACTTCCAACATCAATGCCTCTTTTAGCTGCATTTCTTAATTCTCGAGTTGACTTCATGCCTTGTTGCGTGCCAGATAACCAAACACCCGTTGAAGGACCACCTCCAGAAGACGGTCAAAGATTAAGGCCTCTGATGGATAGAAATCACAGAAATAGAGTTAGAAAGATAAAGCGTTCGACGCGTCAGCGAAATAATCCGTCGCTCCAGAACACGTCAGATAAAAAAGAAAAACCAAATACAACAGAAAATCCAAGCTCTAATAATGTCCATTTCGCCACATCCTTCGAAGATACCAGCGATGGAGCGATACACTGCTTTATGGACGAATATGGTAATTGGATGTCTTACACCTTCGACAAAAACAGTTCAAGCAGATCACAATCACAAGCCATTCCTTTGCCAGAAAAGGAAGACGCTACCAGAGTTAATGAAGTGAAGCCAACTGATAATGCAGAAAATGCTCAAGAGACCGCCGGTGAGGGAAGTTGTGGGTCCTTAGAATCAGAGGCTGCTAACAGTGAAAGTATAGCAAAGCCAAAAAGAGGAGACAGTATAGATCAAAGTTCATCAAACCAAGGGAGCAATAACCCTTTACTGTCCAGCACCAATAACGTGTCGACTATCGTTCCCATCAATACGAATAGTTCAAATAAACGTTTTTACGTTTTCGATGGAGGAACTGGGTCGCACGCGGATCAGCCGAGATCTCCCGTGGCTTACGTGACTGATAGTTTGTTAGAACAAATAGAAGCGGAAAGGCAATCAAGAATGGGGTTGCCCAGTATGCATATAAATTTCCTAATGAACCAACAGAGATCTCAGCAACAGGCACAACAGCAAGCAGAGAACACTTCCACACATATACCGAGCTTAATGCCTTCGATAGGCGAAGAAAGTGGGGAGATTAATATAAGAAACAAATTGACGAAATTATTAGAGGACCTAGATAAAGTAAACAAACCAAAATCTAAGAGTTACTACAAGTTTAAATTATGGAAATGGTTCGAAATAAAGGTCACTATGGATCGGTTGAAATTGATGGCGTTATTCGACAGGAATCTTACGTTCAAAGAGACTTTTATATCTATCATGTTGGCGGTTTGTGTCGCAGTGCTGGGTTCTATGGTGTTAAACCTTGGGTTCTATAGAGATATTTACGCCTTTTGGTTTTGTTTTATAATGGCTGGAAGTCAGTATTCCCTACTAAAGAGTGTCCAACCCGATTCTGCTTCACCTGTTCACGGTTTCAACAAAATGGTAGTGTTCTCAAGGCCTGTTTACTTCTGTTTGTGTACTGCGATACTTTGTGCAGTTCATACTCAACTTCAAGACGGTCCGCAGAGTGAAGATAATCATGTACGTACAAAGCGATGCGCGGATAACGCAAACACACTGACAATATACGGTGTAGAATTTCGTGAACGTGATTTTTTATATGTGATCCAAGAAATTATATCAAAGTTCCTATTATTTTTTCCCCTTGCCTTCAGTTTAGGTCTGTTCCCTCAAGTTAATACGTTTATTATGTATCTCTTAGAACAAGTAGATATGCACGTGTTTGGTGGTAACGCGACCAGCAGTTTGAGTGCTGCAGTGTATTGCGTGTTTCGATCGTTTGTTGCTATTTGTGCGCTTTACGGGTTTGCTTATAGCGGCCTCGTTGAAGGAAAGAAGTCCCAACACCAAAAGCACAACATACTTTTCTCTCTATTCTGTGGACTTCTGGTACCTATAGCATATCATTTAAGTAGAAGTGCAAGTGATTATACTCTCATATGGAATCTAATTAAAAAACATCTGCTACCACCCGAGCTCTATGTAGTCCATACTTCAGAATGTTCTCCCGAACTCGAAAAGAATGATGCGAACGCTCTGACGGAAGAACAGAAAATCGATTCAGAGAGTAACATCTCGAAACAGAACTCAATAGGATCTTCAGCCTCGAAGATCAATTTCAGTTCGGAAACTAATATAGCCAAAAATCAAAAGAGATCCCACGCTTCCAGCATTAGTTCGCTTAAGATGGATCCGAGAGGGGATACTATGAATTCGACGATGTCACTTAAAGATAGACTAGAAACACCGACAGAGGGTGAAGATAAAAGCAGAGATTCAAACACACTGAACTCCAACATTAATAAACACGATGAAAAGTCCGATGAAGATATGGAAGATCCGTTGCCAAAGAAGCTACAAGCGACCGTGAACGCGAGATTGAAAAATGACGTCATAGTTTGCATATTCCTTGGACTCTCTGTGTTTGGCCTACACTGCACCACTGTATTTACGACACTAAGACCTCAGCTGAATACGGTAACTATTTCATATTATACTATTTTCATGACACTAAATATTCTAAATATTGGTTTTTTTAAATAAAAAATACAGTGTAAACTCCATATAACGACACTCGATTTAACGACAAACTCTCTAAAGCGTCGAAATCATTTGACTTTGGTTGGTTTAGCTTGTCTACCATACAATGATACACTCTATATAGCGTCACAGCCACTCTCAATAACGACAAAATTAAGTAATAAAAAGTACCTTTTAAGTTGCTAAAATTAGTAAAAAATGCGCAGCTGTGTACGTTTTTTTGTCGCTTTGTTATCCTAGCCCGCAATAAACTCCACTGTCGTAATCATAAATACCAAACTTTCTAAGAAATTCGTTCTTCACCAATATGCCTCAATATCGCAAGATATGAATAAAATACGTAAAAAATACAACAACATTACTGGTGCAGCAAAACACGTCAAACAAAAACAACAGACTTTATAACATTCTTTTTTATGTACATAAGTACTAACAGTAGTCTGAAACAAACTTTGTCTTTTTCTAATTCTGATTTTTCTTCCCTCTATTTAACGGCAACTCTCTATAACGCACTAAAATGCACGGTCCCTTCAGTGTCGTTATATAGAGTTTACACTGTATATATTCTAATGTGATGACAACAATGTTATAAAAAATCCTTATAAATTTTGAACTACCTCATGCCTTACATTTAGACCAACTTTTGCAATTGATATTAAACGCTCATAGTATTTGTCAGGAATTATATTATTGCTAAAATTGACCGATTTTAGCTAATTTTTTACTTCTAATGCCATATATTCGTCAGGTATTATGGATAATAGCCGGTATCCTAGGCTGGGTTCTTCACTACCTGACACCTCAGCTCCGCAAACAACAACCCTGGCTGTGTCTGGCGGGGCCCGTGTTGAGGCAACACGAACACGCACAATTTGAGGTCACTGAACCCGCGAGACTTATGTACTTCGAGCGAGTGAGTTAAAAATATATTGTTATGTTCATCATCAGCCTATAAGAGCCCACTGCTGAGCAAAAGCCCCTTCTCACATGGTAAAGTTTTGAGCATTAATCACGCTTGCTTGCTATTGTTATATATTCCTGCTTATATATCTAAGAGTACATGATATTAACTTCTATCAAGGTATCAATCAATTTCATGTGGTTTAAAATTAATGTCTTTTTACAGATATTCGTGTATCTGTGTTTCCTGGAGAGGAACGTACTTTACCCGGCGGTAGTCATAGCAGCCACTACACAAGACGCACCCGCCATCGCAGAGAAATATGGAGACGCGGTCGGCGCTCTAATCATATGTGTATGCGCACTTAAGTGTGAGTATGTCAGATAGAATATAATAGTGTTTAAATAAAACAAATATTTTTCTGATGTACGACGCGACTTTATTTTTGGTAAAAAACTACATACTCCCGACGTTTACGCTAAAAAGGAGCAAACATCGAGAGTATGTAGTTTTTTTTATCAAAAATAAAGTCGCGAAGTACATCCGAAAAATATTATTTTCATTTAAATGACTAAAACTCGCGAAAATCTTAATCTCATTATAATACTTTTGTCCTATTTCAATTAATTATTTCATTATTTTCCTAATTCCAGGTCTACGAAACGCTTATTCGGATCCCGATAGCCAATACCTGATCCTAGTGTTCGCGGTTTTGGTTTTCCAAAGAGACCTCAGCAGCCAGAAGGTGTCGGAGACCTTCCTAGTCGACTACTTCATCATGGCAATCATTTTTAATAAAGTTTACGAGTTCCTTTTGAAGGTAAGATGTCTTATACAGTATGTTCACATTGCTAGTCTGTTCATAACTGATCACTATTTCAATATTCATAATTATATCAAAGAAATAGAAGTCTAAACAACTATTGTTTTTTTTTTTCTTCTTATTTATTTCTCTTGATTTTGGAATGCGTATGTTTTTTTCAAACAATAATTAGAACTATAGCATCACAAAGATATGTGACACTATTATTCCCATAATAGTTGATGTATAATCATTACGTCTTATCAAGGTCTTATTTCATATGGATTATTATACACCTACTAAAGATTTATATAAAACAACAAAAATTTGATCTATTAAACAAATGTATAAAAATAAATTATGTATACTTATTCGAAAAATATTAACAAACCTTACTCATTCTCAAATTACCTTTAAAACCAAAACCCATTCTTACCACACAAGGAACAGATATAAACTAGAAACCTAAAACTCGAACCAAGTACGGCATTAAAACTATTTCATTTGAAGGAGCACAGCTGTATAACTCTTTGCCTCTAAGTGTTGTCAATTCAAAATCTCTAAATATATTTAAAAAACGATTAAGAACCCATATATTAGATGATTTCACTGATCTTGTTTAATATCACTACTGTTTATCATTTGTAATATCTTAATTGTAGTTATAATTTTTTTAAATTTCCTTTGTAAGCGAACTTTGTTCTTTTTGGAAATAAACTTCTTTAAAAATATATGTTTGTTGTCAGATCCAGTTCGTGGTGACGTACATAGCTCCGTGGCAGATCACGTGGGGCAGCGCCTTCCACGCGTTCGCACAGCCCTTCTCCGTGCCGCACTCCGCCATGCTGTTCTTACAGGCGGCGCTCTCCGCGCTGCTGTCCTCGCCGCTCACACCCGCGCTGGGTATGACGCACACACACACACACACACACACACACACACACACACACTTATAGCATATAAAGCAGTATAAACCGGTTCAAAACTAGGAAACAACGAGGCATTAAAAAAATTGACATCACATCTACACTATCCGTGTACAATCACACAAATGCAAAGCTCAGCTTAAATCAAACGCACTATACATATACATTGTATGGGAATAAAGATGTGAGGGTAGTTATGCATATAGACTTTTAATATTACACCGCGAGTTAAATTACTTTTACGGGTATATACACTTAATGAGATCTAACACTATCGAGTATGTAGTTAAATGAAACTAATATTTTTTGAGTATTTCGCGTATTTTATTTTTGTGAAAACTACATACTCCCGACGATTCGGTTACTTTGCAGCAACCGTTATCATTTCGTCTGCCGATTCTCAAAATAATACCAAAATATTAGTTTCATTTAAATACACTGAACATAAGATTATCTTCTAAGTCTTCCTGGCAATTTCCCAGCTTTAGCAAGGGTCTGCCTATACTCCATATATTAAATGTACGTGTCTTTAGGTAGCGCGATATTCATGACGTCATACGTGAGACCGGTCAAGTTCTGGGAAAGGGATTACAATACGAAGAGGGTCGACCAAAGTAACACGCGGCTTTCGTCACAGTTGGAACGAAATTTGGGAGCTGGTGAGTATAACTATATAGCTAGGGAATATTATTTAATGTACGATTAACGACTGTTTTGGTAAGAGCAAATTTTATTACAGTACTGTATCCCTATACCACACATATACCATTTTCAGTTGTTTGTTATGAGAGCAAACTTAAGCAACTTGGGCCATTTCTAATATTCATTCTTAAACTTCTATGGATACTATCATATAAATCAGATCTGTGATTAAAATTCCCCTTATTTTTTGTCTAGCAGTCAATAGACTGTCACAGTCAATAGACTCGAGAAATCTAATGGTCAGCAATAGCTGACCATTAGATTTCTCGAGTTGAACAATATTGTGGATTTTATGTAGTCGTTATGAAATAATAAGTCTGCTTCATCAAAAAACTTCAATTAAATCGTTAATTTTATAAATCGGAATGTTAAACTTGGAAATTTTGTTGATATCAAAAGGGCTTTGACTATTAATATCTTTATGGCCCATCGAACAAGCTAAGTCATTGATCTACACAGAAAATGACTTAAAAAAAAATTCGCAAGTATTTTTGCAGCTTTCCTACTTGGATACATAACTATTCCTTATAATAAGACTTAAAGATCCTACAACATTATATTATACTATTATCATATAATACTGTAAAGTCAAACAAAATGAGCAATAATACATTTGAATAAAACAGTATTTCTCAATATGTTTGAATCTATGACATATATTTTTGTTCCAAAAAATCCTATCGATATATTTTTAATATGTAGTTTTAAATTGTATATATATGTTTATTCCAGATGATAATAACTTGAACTCTATCTTCTACGAGCATCTCACACGTTCGTTACAACACTATCTGTGCGGAGACCTCATGCTGGGTCGTTGGGGACAAGTGCAGCAAGGAGACTGCTTCGGTAACATGAAACATACTTATAATATTATAATTGCGAAAGTTTGTGAGTCTGTATGTTTGTTACTTCTTCAAGCTCAAACGGCTGAACCGATTTTGTTCAATTTTGTATACAGCAAGCTGACGTCCAGGAATAACACATAGGCTACTTTACTTCTGAGAAATCCGCGGGTAACACCGCGGGGCGCAGCTAGTACTAAATAATTTACATGTGTGGCTCGGTCAGGGAAGTACCACCCTCTCACAGAAGATCGGAATGAAGTAGCCTTTAATGGCTGCGTTTCGTACGATGAGTGAGAGTGATGGTTGTCTTTTTCCTTCTCCCTCCCTCTCCTGCTATTTCCCTATTCCCAACCCTTCTTTTTCAACAATTAAGGTTGGCAAAGCATCCGTAACATCTATGTTGCGGATGTCCATGAGCGACAGTCACTACTGACCATCAAGTGTTCTCGGTGTCTTTGATATAAAAAAACTCTCATAAATCATTTGATTTATTATGAAGACTTCAATAAACACTCAATAGATAATCGATTAGAATAAAATCGAGTCAAAACGAATCAGTAGTTTTTGAATGAAGTAACTAAAATAAGCTTACTTATATCAAACTACTTTCATATTACAGTGTTGGCGTCTGACTACCTGAATTGTCTGGTGCATATAGTTGAAATGGGTAACGGGTTGGTTTCCTTTCAATTGAGAGGCCTCGAATTCAGAGGGACGTACTGCCAGCAACGAGAAGTAGAGGCTATATCTGAGGGGCCCGAGGAAAGTACGGGTGAGAATGTTGTATATTAATAACATATACACTCTATACTAAATTTAATTATTTTTTATAATAAGATTTAAAACTCTCACGGGTATTCATTTAAATGAAACTAATATTACTCGGATTATGAGCAGACGACATCTTATTTACCCATAATAACGGTTGCTGAAAAATAAACGAAACGTCGGCAGTATGTAGTTTCAAAATAATGGAATAAGCATAGTAATCAGAATAATATTAGTTTTTTTTTTTGTTTTCATAAGATCATATGCAGGGTCAGTTAGAAATATGATAAAAAATTTGCTTTAAAACTTATAACCTACACCTAAGACTACATGATTGACCCGACGTTAGGATAGCAATACCATTTCATAGCTTGTGTGGTATCAGGAATCTTCTGGTTCACACGGCTTGGTGTTCATTTATTTATTAATATGTAGCGAGTACATAACAAGTTCTGTGAAAGCTTATTATAATGCTATGTATTAGTTGGGTTCTAAACTTTGCAAGTACTAATGTAATTTTTTCGATTAATAAGTACTTAAGAATATTTAAAGACCACTGACAGATGAATAAAAACATCGCGAGGAAACCTGGGCTTATAATTGCCCAATTACTGAGCAAGCGTGGTTAATGCTCAAATCTTCTCTATGTGAGAAGCCTTTGCTCAATTGTCTCTGATGATGATGTCTATAGAGGGCGTGTGCGTAATAAATCGTAAGAAAACCTGGACTTATCAAATTATAAGTTCGAAATCGCCAACCCGTCTCGAGCAGGCGTAGTTAATACTCAAATCTTCTCCATGTGAGAAGTTTTCGCTCAGCTGGCTGTGATGATGATGATGTTGTTGTGTATAGAGGGCGTGTGCGGCGGTCGCTGGTCGTGCGGGGGCGGAGTCCTATCCCCGGGTTCGTGGTGGGCGCTCCGCTGGCTGGCCTGGCAGCTGGCGGCCGCGCGCTACGTGCTAGAAGGGTACTCCGTGACAGACAACAGCGCAGTCAGTATGCTGCAAGTGTTCGATTTCAGGAAGGTGCTGCTCACTTATTACGTCAAGGTCAGTATATAAATAGCATTAACATGTAAGGCAGACCCTGGCTTAAGCTGGGAAATTGCCAGGTAGATAAAGTAAACAAATAGCGAGTTTATATATGTTATATCGTCGAAGATAGTGCAATTCAACGTAACTACAATTGGATAGTTCCGCGTATCTGCAAAGGAAGCAGATTATCAGAAGAACGTTTAAAATGAAATATTTTATAAATTAACGTCTAAAGTAATTTTTTCACAATTAGTAATAAATTATAAGTGTAAGAGGTGGTAGAGCCTATCTGTAGTCCGTTACTACAGCTCGAACATGGGCTAGCTCGACCGGGGAAGTACCACCCTCTCACAGAAGATCGGCGTGAAGTAGCCTTTAATGGCTGCGTTTCGTCCGATGAGTGAGAGAGCCGGTTGCCCTTTCCCTATTACCATCCTTTCCTACCATTTCCTTATTCCCGCCCCTCCCTATCCCTACAAAACAAGGTCGGCAATGCATCCGCAACATATATGTTGCGGATGTCCATGGGCGACGGTAACCACCTTCCATCTAGTGGGCCGTCTGCTCGTTTGCCAGCTTTCACATAAAAAAAAAAAAAAAAAAAATTAAACACTAAATAATTAGTAATTGTGAAAAAATTACCTTAAAAGTCGCTAATATAGAAAATATTTCTGCTTAAACTTTCTTCTGATAATCTGCTTCGAATGTTGATACGCGGAATTATCCAATGGTAGTTAAGTGGATTTGTACTATCCCCGACGACATGTAATGTATAAGGAATTAAGCATCAGTTAAATTTGACAAAGATATTTGTAACAGTAAACAATATTATATCTTGTTTTAACGTATAAATAATTTAAGGGCAAGACATTATATGTACCATGTATATACATCTATACTCCAGCCAAATTCGATGTGGAATGTTTAATAACAAAGCGTTGCTTAGCAACCAACGTTAGGCAGATGCTCAAAACATTTTTAGATATAAGTACAACAATTATTTTTGATGTTAATGAAAATTAAAGTTGATGATTAATAATAAAATATTTAAGACAAAGGACTAATTAATTATTGGTTATTATAATTATAATACTTATGATCATCTGGAATAATGTAGATCTCAAAAATAATACCTCCAATTTTAAAATGATATCAGAAATTACCTCGTAGTTATATAATTCGCTTTATTAACTTTATCCATCGCCTCCCAAACGACAGGACTCATTTTAATAGTGAAAATAGTGACTCTAATGTATGTTATTTGTTCGTAGAGTATAATATACTACACCATACAATCGAGTAAACTGGACGAGTGGTTGTCATCCCCGGAATTAGCGGAAGCCTTACGACCGATGTCTGAGAGGTCGTTTGTTGACCTCGACCCTATATTCAACGTGAATTTGGATGAGGACTACGACTTTAGAGCGTCAGGCATCACCAAGTAAGGGACTTAGTTTATAGAGAAAATATCGGTTTTAATTGGTACTATTACCGATTAATAGTTGAAATTCTTAGTAGTTACTTACAATCTGTTTGAAGTGAACCTTGAATCAATAGCTTATATACATGTGACTACTGAGTTAGTGATGCTACATTTATTTTTTAATATTAAAACAATTATAAGTCAATAAGAATATATAGAATTTTGTCTCCATTTTATCTATGTATTTTCCATTCTATACATTATTTTAAGATGAAAACAGATTATGAGCCAATGGAGTTCGTTTATATCGCGTTTCCAAGAGAACCTATCAAAAGTCTGGGATAAAAACTATCCTATGTTCTTTCTTAAGCTCAACTCTGTCTGTACCAAATTTCATTAAAATCAGTTCAGTGTTTTAGGCGTGAAAGCGTAACAGACAGACAGACAGAGATACTTTCGCACTTATAACATTACTAGGGATAAAGTTCATCTAAAATCTTCGCTTCCCTGCCTTCACCCTATATGTATATGACTACTAAGTTACTGACGCTTGCTATAGTTATGTTTTTAACATTTGAACAACGTATAACTCAAACAGAATATAAAGATTTTCGCTTCCAGACCATATCTATATATTTTCCATTCCATTTCCATCCATCCGCTCGATTATGGACCAAAATGTTTAGAATTAAGCTTGATTTAATTTAATCGGGATTTTTTAAACTCAAACAACGTGTATTCACTCTGACTCTTTAATTGTAACTAAATTAGAAAATATAATTAAACAAAAGCAATGGACTGTATGTAATAACTTTCAACCGGAGTGGGTAATCAAAAAAAAACAATCTAAATTCCATACATTATATATAGTTGAAGTAACAGCTAAATATACTAGTTCATTGCCCCGTCTTCCCTCAGGAGTCGTTTCTGCGCGGTATACCAGGAGTGGGTGGTCCATTGTAGCGCGCGTCGCGGGCCGGGCTGGCGTCGTAGGGCTTCTACGAGGGACTCGCCGCTAGTAACGCTGTGCTTCGCCCTCAGCCTGCTAGGTCGCCGAGCGCTGGCCGCCGCGCAGCATTTATCAGCATCCAGGTATCATTTTCACACCTGGACTGATAGCATACATAACACTTCATATCTTCTTCTACCTGGCAATTTCCCAGCTTTAGCCAGGGTCTGCCTTACATGTTTTTTGAATAGTTTTGGCTACTTGTTTTTACGATCGGCCGCCTGCCTGACATCAACCCTCTTTTGGGAATCAGCATTAATCAGTGATGTCTAAATATTCTTAGAAAGTACATATGATTCGGAAAAATCACATTGGTACTTGCCCGGACCAGGATTGAACCCGCGCCCTCGTGCATGAGAGGCGGGTCTTTTAACCGTAGTGGTTAACACTTCATATGACATATACTAAATCCGGTTTAAATCACATATAGCATATATAAATAACACCCAATACATAATTTAATTAATCATCTTAAATCAATGCATTATGGTTGTTTTCTCTTACTGTTAAAATATTTTACATACATATTATTTGGTGTATATTTGTTTGTTTTGTGTAATATCATAGTTCGTTATGATATCGTTCAACGATAATTCTGCCACAGTATCTTATTTCCTTTCTCTATCAGAGTCTGTTCCTCTATGTTCATATATACAATATATATCCTTCTGATATTATAACTACTAACTTATGAGGATTTGTGGATATTTATTACTGTTTCATACGAAAAATCTGAACGAATTGCACTGAAACTCTTTGTAACTTAGCTTACGCAACAGATTAATATAGTCTATAATGAATCCCTCCATTATTTATATCATGTTATGTGTAAAAGACTTTTCTTCACCAATTTTCTCTATCCTTATACTTTCGATACACTATACATTTCTCTCTTAAATTTCAATATTATCAAACAAAGCCATGGTACAATCTAATATGTTTATATACATATTAGATTAACATGTTTGTGTAATATAACTACCCGCAACATATTATTTTACTGTATATAATTCATAAGGCAGATTTTTAAATGTACCGTCATGCAAAATTATTGTAATTTCTTATTGTAAGTGAATTTTTTGATAATAAATAAATAATAAATGTATATAAAGTGTAATTATGTTTCCCAGTAGCGTGGAGTTCTTCCTATACGGTCTGCACGCGTTGTTCAAAGGCGACTTCCGCATCACTTGCTCTAGAGACGAGTGGGTGTTTAGTGACGTGGCGTTGCTACACTCAGTACTGGCGCCCGCTGTTAAGATGGCGCTCAAACTACACCAGGTATGACGTCACACTAGATAAAAAGGTTATTAGTAGCAAAGGTGATAGACGAACTACTACTACTACGGACTACTTGATGAGAGGTAGTCACCGTTGACTATTCAAACGGGACAAAAAGGTTGGGGATTTTATTTGTATCCAAGGTAATAAATGAGGTTTTACTATTGCCTACTTGATGGGAGGTAAACATTGTTGACTATAGACATCTGCAATATAAGAAATTTTGGGAGATGTCTTGATAGTGTGTGACAGAGAGAGGTATAGTGGGAAAAGAAAAAGCAATCATCTCGTACTCATTAAAGTAAATGCAGTCATTACTGACTACTTCACGTCGATCTTCAGTGAGAGGGTGGTACTTCTCCGGTCGAGCCAGCTTACGCTCGAGCTGTAGTGACTTATCAATAAATGACTCTACCACCATAAAAATATAAATAAATGAATGTGGACTGTAGGAGTATTATATTTTTTGATTCATATAATTATAATCAATATTCCAAAGACTAAGACCCAGTTTCACCAATCAATGTTTGTTAAATCTAAATAACGCATTTACTAACACACCTACAAAATTATAAATGTCTGTTAAAATATTTACGTTCCACGATGACAAATTAACAACGCATTATTAAATGTCATATTACATGACCGGTTACCAAATTATTCGTTCTTGTTATAAGATGACTCAATTGAAACTATAGCGTTTAACACGACACGTTTGCCACGATGCACCACTTTATACTTTGATCGTATATATCCCTCAATACGTCACTTGTAAGCTAATGCGACCAAATTTTATACATCGTTGGTTGTATACATTTGGCACACAAAAAGCTTACTTTTTAATTTACTAGGTGTAACCTGTCAAAATCGTATTGTAAATAAATTGTCTTATATATTATTGTGTTATAAATATAGGCATAAATTGTGTTCAAATTATAAGAGATAAAAAGGAAAATTTAATTTGCACTGTCATAAAAAAGCTGGAGGCAAAATCATCATACTAAATGACATTTTAATTCACTTTATTAATAAGCACAAGGAAATAGTCGAAACTGACAAAACAGATGACTTTACTATGGTTACAAGAAATCAGGGCTGTGATTGGACAATTGAGTTTTGACAATGCCATTAACATTCTGTTAGCCATTAGACGGAGCTCTAGAGCAGGAATTAATATTAGTGGCTTGTTAAGACATTTAAACGGACATTTGTGCGTGGTGGGACGCTCGATACATCTAACAGAGCATCAAACGCCTTAACACGATGTTACTTATTTAACATCGATTGGTGAAACTGGGTCTAAACGTATTTAGACCTCGAACTGTTTGATTTAAGAATATTTTTTATTGAAAACAAGATCAACTGACAGACATTCACATCTCGTCTGCCCGTAATCACAATCTCTCCAATGTAACCGAAACGTCGGAAGTGTGTCGTTAAAAGAAATTAAATGCGAAAAATATTAGTTTTATTTCAATACTCGTGAAAGTTTTAGTTCTCATTATATTTATTGTATATATTCAGGATCACTTCATGTTCCCCGAAGAGTACTGCAGCAGCGCGGCTCTGTACGCCGCTATATCCTCACACTCACAGCGACTCGTGATCTGCCACGAGGCGGCGCCCGCCTGGAGGTACAACGTGCTGAGGGGCGCGCCGCATCTACTGGCTCTAAGGTACATACATACATATACCATGCATACATATACCATACATATATATACCATACATACATATACCCATGGATATTCAAAGCGTATATTCCTCGTCTCCAAGCTACACGATAGGCAAGAGGCGTCGTAAAGATGTCTTTTTAAGCCTTGGAAAATAATATCCGACAATACAAACAGGATCATCTCTATAACACAAAATTACAACACCAACACACACCCTTTGGCCGGCGAAGACGATATCACAAGACATACACGTCGCTCCGACGTTCTGCTGTTGCTATCTTTAACTTAAACGAAGTCTTAAGCCAAGGTATTGCCTCTTAGAAGAGCCCTTGAGACGAACGTAAGCCCCTTTAGATTCTAATTTAATGGATAAGTCCCATTGAGTCACCTACCCCTCCTGGTAAAGCTATTAAAACCATAAGGGCTACAGTCAAATCAAAACTAAAATAGATATATATATACATATAATATGTATTAACAGGACTCCCTCTTATTGAACCAATACAAAGTAAACCTATATAAGGAGTGTGTATAGAGCTGCAAGTCCATTTGCCTGGTGGCGCTCGTTGAAGGTGGATTGAAATTTTAACACTAAAAATCGAAATCTTCTTCTTCTATCTTCTATCTATATAATAATATATATAAAAATGGATTGCTGTTCCTTAGTCTCGCTAAAACTCGAGAACAGCTGAACGGATTTATCTTATCTTAGTCTTGAAATGTTCGTGGAGGTTCAGGGAAGGCAAAAGCTGAAAAAAAAATTGATTCATTTCTGGGAAAACCATAAAAACAGCCCTTTTCTATTTCCCATACAAACGTTTTTTTTGACATTAGATTTGACAACTAACTAATATGTCAATCATTCTGTCGCACTTCAAAACACGGAGATTTATGGCTTACAGGTAAACTTCAAAAATATAAATAAAAAACGTAATAGTTATTTCTTGATAATAGGGCGATACGAAGTTCAGAGAAAATCAGGACTCATTTCGTTAGTGACGCGTTTCGATGTGACAAATTAATCGATCGTAGAATATCGGAGTGTTTAAATCTTTCGTCTGTCACAATAAACTTAAATCAATATATTTGAAAGTTATTCTCTCTTCCTTACTGTGTATCCCACATTGTGATGGGGTCAGTCAGTCAGTCTATATTTGAAAGTTATTAAATTAAAAATATCTTTATTTGTTTTTAATGTAATAATTATTGAAAGTCATTCTGATCAAGTTTCTAGCTAACTTAATAGTCGTGTTTAATGTTAATCTAATCCTTATCTGTAATGTTCATTATTGTTTCCAGACACGTGATGGACGAAGGTAACGACGACTACAAGATCATAATGTTGAACAAGAGGCACTTGGGATTCAGAGTGATTAAACTGAACAGAGAGTGTGTGAGAGGATTGTGGGCGGGCCAGCAGCAGGAGCTGGTATACTTGAGGAATAGGAACCCGGAGAGGGGCTCCATACAGAACGCTAAACAGGTGACATACATACATACACATATACACTATAACCCTTTAACAGTCACAACGCTAAACAGGTCACATATAACTATAACAACTGTGATGAATATACCATATTGAGTGTAAAGCAAACCTAGACATTTTTAATGATAGTTTGAGTTTGTATAAAAGTAAAATTAAAAACATTTCCTTTATCAATAATATGTTATGTCACAACTTTTTTTGGTAATTAAGTTTCTTTTTATATGTCTGTTTTTAGATTATTATTATTATTCCTTTTTGTTGTTATATACATATTTTTTTCACAATTTTTTTTATTGTATCGAGTAAGCTTTGGAGTATGATGTTATAATGTAGTTATAAGTTTTTGTGTATCACGTTGGCTTCCTATTAAAAGAAATAAAATAAAATACTACAATATATACTTACCTAATGAGATTTAAGATTTTCGCGAGTACTCATTTAAATTAAATATTTTTCGGATTTTACATCTCGTCTTTATGATCACGGTTGCTATAAAGTAGCCGAAACGGTTAGTATATAGTTTATAATCAAAAATAAAAAGGCGAAGTAAAATCCGAAAATATTAGTTTCATTTAAATATATACTTACCTTTACATATAAAACCATACAAAAGACTCAGGTTTTTACTATCGCTCGACTAATTATTTATTTTTTTACCATCACTCGACTAATTATTTGTTATTTTCCAGGCTCTTCGTAATATTATCAACTCATCATGCGACCAGCCCATAGGATACCCTATCTACGTGTCTCCCCTCACTACGTCGTATGCAGACACGTCCCCTGCCCTCTGCTCTTTACTGGGGGGTTCTGTCAGTGTGAGGGCGCTCCGGGGCGCAGCCGCCGGCCTATGGAGAAGGTAACTCAACAAATATACTAAGATAATAAATCTACACTAAATATATTACTTGCTAAATGATATGTATCTGCACCTTCCAAGTCACTACGCACTAGCAAACGCACGATTTTTTTCAGAGCATATGTCTAAATCCAATTTGGGTTTTTACTCCCCTCTCAATAGAATTATGAGTGCCTATAATTCAATGAGCGGAGACAAAGATTTAGATATTTTCGGTAATATGAAAAAAATTAAAAATAAAATATTATTTATATATACTCAAAATTATTTAGTTTAGATAGATAGTTTACTTATGTTATTATTTTTATTTTAAATTGTTGTTTGTTATTTAATTAGCTTTTTTTATTTTTTGCTTGTTGTCTTTAGTGTGTATTTTGTTGATGATCTAATAAGAAAAAAATAAAATATAATACTCTTTATTGCACTGTAAATTTACATATAAAATCATTGTTCGCAATGTCGGGCATATTTCTAAAAGAAATTTCTTCCAGCCAACTAACAGCTGTAAGAGATAGTGTTATAAAGCAGGTATAAATAGTGCAATATGAGGTGCTCTTAATATATTAATATAGTATAAAAAAAATACGTAATGATTATTTTTTTGTAATTATTATTATAAAGTCCTATCCCAACATATAATTAATTTAATATAATAATTGTTTCAGGATCCGTCGTCGTTGTGGCGAGGGATGTTCGAGCGGCGCGTGTGAGGCGGCCGCGGCTGAGGCGGGCCGAGCTAGGACACCCGCCGCTAGAGGGAACACACAACAACTCAACGGTCAGTGGATACACACACACACACACACACACACGCGCGCGCGCGATATAATCACTGTAAAAACTCATACACACGCACTTTACTCGATATAATCACTGTACAGACTCACACACACGCACGCACGCGCACATTACTCGATATAATCACTGTACAGACTCACACACACGCGCACACACACACACGATATAATCACTATACAGCCCCATACATGAGCTATAACTACTCTTGATGAATGTTCTATGGTTGGTTGTTTAAAATATATCCTTCATCCGTGCAATTACGTGCACAGTATATTCTGCCAGTGTCGTGTAGAATGGAGACACGATGCGGGATTAACTTTTAAATGAAATAAAATTTAACCACAATTATTGACTTTGTTATGAATGTTCCATAATAGTTATATTTGTTTGACAGTTATCACAGTATTACATTATCATTATCTTACAAGTATATAGGTAGTTCTCATGAGTGAAAAATGAGTGAAGTTTTTTTTTTGTGAATGCATGCTGAGTTAGCTTTTAATTGTAGTGTACTTTGTAAGATCATTGTACATTATGTTGGCTTCCTAATAAAATAAATAAATAAATAAACCTCCCCCCCAGCTGCTCCCCGCGGCCCCCTCGGCGCGTGTAAGCCGGCCTCGTCTACACTAGCGTCGCTGGCAGGTCTGCTGAGGGAGTATTCACATGAGAGACACGACGAGACACGTGAGTACAGTATATACAGGGTGACTGGTGAATTACTATCGATATTTCATGACGTGATATTTGACGATCATATATGACAAAATAAAAATTAATATAACATAAATATTAATAAACTTCTAAGTAAAGTTAACCAAAAGTTATGTAATTAATTACGCATCGTATGAACACCCTACAGATTAGGTATACACACACACACACACACTCGCGCGCGGCGGCGTGTTGTTGTATCAGCACGCCGCCGCGCGCGTCCACACTTGGTACACTTGGAACGTGTACACTATTTATTTATTCGGAAATTTGGTCAAAAATTAAGTACCTATTTTTTTTACATAATTCGAATGAGAATCATGTACCGAGTATGCTCCTTAAATATTGATAGTAATTCACCAGTCACCCTGTATATGTACATATACTAGAAGACCCGACGAACTTCGTATCGCCCTATAATCAAGAAATATCAGTACGTTTTTTAATAAATAAATTTTGGTTATACCTTAGCCTCAGAAACATGTAGTGGTTATGCTATTATTAAATAGTCGCTCTTATATGACGTTTGTATTTTTAACATAGCGCCATCTATTGAATACTTAACTCAGTCAATAGATAACTGTAATAATGACAAATAATTTTCTTTAATAGACAAATAATTTGCAATAAAATAATATTGTGACTATAAATTGAGATGTAAGCGTAAGATAGGATACTATCTTTCAAGTTGGATCAAAATGCACACGGAATGCAAATCAAATTTAAAATCAGTTTAGTAGTTTAGTCCATCGCGGACTAAGACGTGACAAGAAATTTTTATATATACTATAAAGATATATATCTGAATATTACATTGATGATACAAAAATATATGAATGTTGTTTGAAAAGAATCACCAAGAGTAGATGAAGTCGATTATGGTTAAAGATACTTTATTTCTCAAAAAGAAATTACATTTCACTCACTTGAGAAAATTATGACTATAAACATATTTTAAATTAAAACTTCGACAATCATATTAAATGTATCAGTGTAGTTTAACATATTGTTACAATAAATTTTGCTTTAAACAAGAAATTCAAAACAACAATAATTGTGTATTATTTATGACAATCCATTCCATACTGGGAATATGTGACTATCTCATTGATATTCAAAGTTTAATGGAGCAGTAATAATTATTATACATGTATTAATATTATGTGTTATATATTTCAGCGTACAGCAGTACAGAGAGCGCGGGTGCTCCCCAGTCCGTGTCAGCGGCGCCCGGGCCTCCGCTGGCGGACTCGCGAAGGAGGAGACGCAGTGAGGAAAGAGACGCGCGGAGAGACAGGAATAGACGCGCGCTCACACAGGTATATACTATATATATATATATATATATTGTTAGAAATGAAAAACACTTTATGGTTTTTAAAAACAAACGGTCGCCGGCCAAGGGTCAATTAATTAATATTCGAGACTAATTAGAGCAGAGTCTTTTCTCTTGACAATAGCTGAGAACAAGAAAGTGTGCGATTGTCAGTTATGGCGCTCCTTATATAGGTGGCTTGAGGGTTGCCAGTTTAATAATTATTTAACAATATATATATATGTAATAATATTAGATGTCTACCGCGAATATAACTTTGAAAATCTAAACAGAGATATGTAGGTCTTAAGTTGACAAAAAAATCGTATACGTGGAGTCTATCCATGCAAAAGGAACTGGGACTAAAAAAAATTGGTATTCGAAGTGTTTCTTTAAAAGAAACTTTATTACCATTACTTATAAATCACAATTGATTGCCCTCACGCATGCGAGCTCCACGCATTCCCGTTCCATTCTGTCTCATTTTCAACCCAACGTCCTTCTAGCAATCGTTAAACGTTTAACACAACCTTGTTGAAAGTTGCTTAACAAGTTTAACTTCAAAATACAAGGAGTTATTGGCATGAAATGATACAAAATACAACTAACTGACAGTCATCTCATGCTTGTGATCACGGTATAATAATAAACATAGAGGAAATAAATTTAACGAACATAGCTTATATGAAATGTATATAAAATTTGTTTATATATAACATGTGTAGCCGACTAGTCGCGGTCGAGCGAGGAGGTTGGACCGAGCGAGCCGGGACAGAAACGACGACGGACAGGTACATAAGACGATATATGTATATAAATATATACACACATACATACACACATACACCTATATATGTCACCGGAAAATAACAAGACTCGTAAGTTGATCAATTTTCTAGGTAGTTGATCAACTCTCGGAAAATAATGAACGGCAGTTGAAATGTACTATTTAACGCATGTATTTTTAGTAAGTTATTAATTTACGGCGTCTTGCCGTTAAATCATCCGATAAAGGCAAGGTGTACGTTGATTGGTTAGGTTAGGTTGTTTATTAAGTGACGCATAATACCGTCAAATAGTACACTGGGCAACGATTGGTCCATTCGTGGACGATTTTACTTGTAGCAAATAGTTAATTATTAAATTACGGCTAGGTACCGTAAGTTGACCAATTACCTAAAATTCAATGCGTTAAATAGTACATTTCAACTGCCGTTCATTATTTTCCGAGAGTTGATCAACTACCTAGAAAATTGATCAACTTACGAGTCTTGTTATTTTCTGGTGACATATATACACATACATGGAGATACACATACACATAAACACACATGCACATGTATACACATACAAATTATACATTATGAAAATAATACTAGGTGTACATATACATATTAAACAAAATTGTACACAAATTGACACGACATAAAAAACAAATCTATACGTCTGGTGATAGACAATATTTTCTTAAACACATTATATTTGTTTAGTTTATATTATTTTGTTTGTTAATGTTTTATTAGTATCGTCAGGGTTCAATATGTGGATGGGAATTCGGCCATCGGGAGCCGAGACGAGCGGCCAGCGCTAAGGTGAGACTGACATACATACACTTACAATGACTGCTAAAAAGACAGATTTTCTGATATTCAGCATTATATTTAAATATAATAATAATCCTACTAATATTATAATTGCGAAAGTTTGTGAGTGTGTGTGTATGTTTGTTACTTCTTCACGCTCAGACGGCTGAACCGATTTTGATAAAATTTTGTATACAGCAAGCTGACGTCCAGGAATAACATATAGGCTACTTTAAATCCCGGAAAACCGCGGGGTGCAGCTAGTTGAATATAATTATGATGATATATTATTGGTCAGCCGACTATACCTAACTTGGGAAGAGGCAAAGAAAAAGATATATTATTGTTGTATATATATAGTATATACGGTTTTACAACAGAATCCCAGAAAGCGTTCAAAATGCCTCTGTTGCCAAATTTAAAAGAATTATTAAGGAACGCTTGTATGCAAAAGGTTATTATACAATTAATGAGTTTATGATCGATAGCACACCTTGTTAATGAAACGCCTGATCGCCTCCTGGCTATTTCAACTCATATTAAATTATTTAAATAATATATGAGACAAATATATATATAAAAAATAAAACCCGCTGAGTTTCTTTCGCCGGTTGTTCTCAGGTCAGGGTATTTTGTTTTTCGAACCGGTGGCAGTGTCTCAAGTGACCATCAATTAGAAAGTGTAATGCTTCTATATTGAATGAAGTTATTTGACTTTGAGTTTGAGTATGTCAAATGTACTAATGATAGTGTATTGTACTCCAGGTGTCTAGTTCCCGTGAGTGTCGCGGTTCGTCGGGCTCGGAGTCCCAGTCGTCGCTGGAGGGCGGCGGCCCGGCGGGGGGCGAAGCCCTACAGCTGGACCTGTCGCTGCCGGACTGCAAGATCATCGCCAACAGGAACGCCAGGCAAGAACACTTCAAAAGGTATTCATGATCATCTGTGACAATGTTACCGGATGAATGAGAGATAATATACAATGATTAATGAGTATCTCTCCGGTAACATTTCCTTTCATTCCATTGCTCATTCAAATGCCTTTTAAGTATTACGTAAGCAGTTTTTACAGCAGCTCTTACCCCCTCCTCCCATGCTTACGTAAACATTTTCAATTACTGTATTTTTTTTTAATATGAATCCAAAAAAAATATTTATTTATTTTTTTCTATGGATCTTCCGATGTGACGATTAAAAAGTAAATAACTACCGATGACGTAATCATCATCTAGACTCATCCAAAATAATCAAACCAAAGACCCCCGCCCCTCCATAGTGCTTACGTAATACTTGAACGGCCCACACTAGTCATATTTCTGTCACCTCTTCGTATTTATAGCTCAAATTCAATGTCATAATAATATATAATAAATTCCAGATATTTCATCAACGAAGGCACGTCCAAGGATCTATCCAAATTATCCAAAGATCTGCGTCACGAGCGAGAGAGTTACAGAGAGTTGACCGGACGATACACTGAGAAATCTGAAGCTATACCGCTCAAAGAGACGAACTACAGCGACACGAACAGGGAGGGCAGGAGAGAGAGGAGAGACGGAAAGAATAAGACGAAGAGGACGGAGAGTGGGAGGACGGAGAGTGGGATCAGTGTGGGGAGTAAAGTGTTGATAGTGGAGCCGATGGGGGTTTATGACTGTATCAACTTGGGGAGAAGGATAGACGTGATGTGGCCCAGCGAGTACCAGCGGGAGAGGGGCGGCCGCAACCACTGGGGCAGCTGGGTGCCGCTGGCGGGCATGGACGGGGTGGTCAGTAGATACATACGTACATACATACATACATACATTATAATTGGGAATTATGTCTTATTATATTTGGGAATTCGAAACGACGATACACAGCACTCACATCACTTACAATTGAATGATTGTTGCTCGTTCCACCAAGTTATCATACTACTTACGGAGAGTTAACAGTTTTTATACAATGCACGTTGTTACTAGTGCTAAAGTTGGGTCATCAGCCTATCAGAGCTGCTGCTGAGCTGCCTCTTCTTATATGGAGAATATATATCTTCTTAGAAAGTGCATATGACTCGGAAAAAATCATATTAGTATTTACCAGGTTTCGAACTCGCGCCTTCATGCTCGAGAGGCGGACCTTTAACCTCTAGGCCATCACGACACACATACATCAAGGATGCTCTAATCCTACTAATATTATAATTGCGGAAGTTTGTGAGTGTGTGTGTATGTTTGTTACTTCTTCACGCTCAAACGGCTCAACCGATTATAATAAAAAATTGTATACAGCAAGCTGACGTCTAGGGATAACACATAGGCTACTTTACATCTCGGAAATCCGCGGGACGCAGCTAGTATTTATATATATTTGAAAATAATACACATGAACAATACGTGCAAATCATGCTTCATACATCGCTGACATCATGCAGATGTCAGCGTTAAGTTATTTTTAAACTTTAATTATCCTAAAACTATTATTAGTTTCATCAAAGCTAACTTATGCACACACACATACATCAATGATGCTCTAGTATTGTCATATATATGTGCTCACAATAGTCAAAACAGATTACACATAGCACTCTTAAGTTATTTTTATTATCTTAAATTTATTATTAGTTTTATCAAAGCTAACTTATGCACACACATATATCAAGGATGCTCTAATATTCTCATAAATATATATGTTCATAATGCTCATTATGTGTGCAGGTGGTCCACAAGTGGGTCCCCAACGCCCGCGAGCCGACGGTCCGCTCGCACGTGGACCGCAGCATCTTACTGGTGCAGGTGGGGGACCGGTTCGTGCCGGTCGCCGAGCACAGCGTGCGGGACCTGGGGGACGAGGTGTAGGAGGGGGAGGGGGGATGTACACACACACTGTATATACTTGTATATAATGTACATTGAAATCTAATCGTTAGCGAAGGAAGCGTCTCTGTGTATTCCTTTTTTAAATTTCCCGATACTTTTTTTTTATTTTTAATCTTAAGCCTTAATGTCAATGGTCTCGGCTCGCCAAAAATGTTTTTTTTTTTTTGTAATGGTTGATGTAATATTCGTGTCGCCAGTGTCAGTCTGTCTTTATTGTTCTCTGTATATATATTTATTATGAGGATCGTTTTGTGATCGACTCTCGTTGATTTTTACGAATTTATGGTAATTAAATTATTGCCGGTTGATCGTTTAATATTATATTAGGATATATTGATATGTAACAATCAAAAAATATATACAAATGATAATTTATGAATGTTACGATGCTGTGGAAAATATCTAACAAATTAAATACTCCGTGTTGTATTCATGCTATGTATTTTCAAATCTGTCTTCATTGTATTTTCTAAAGTGTCTGTACTACGTGTGGCCTCTCAGAGCGTTGCGGTCATGTGAAATGTGATTTCGTAGAAAATGAAAGAGTTACATAACTTTATTTTCAATGTATCGTGTCCCAAGTGCACGCTAGAGTTCTATATTATTTCGCAAGTTGCCTTAATATATTTTAGACTGATTTTTTATAATGAACGTGTACGGAACGAGTTCGGACTCTTGCATACACTTAAACCTGTACTTATGAACCGTCGCGTGGAACCTTACTGTGAAAGGCATAGAAATAAGGACATGTGAGAATATGCTCCGGTATTAAATCAGTGATTCGTTTAATTTAATGATACGATGTTATTTTGCTTGTAATAAAAATAAATCACACAATAGTTTAACATCGATGTAAAGGAAAGCACAATCCGTCCAGAAAGATGTGTTTTCAGCACACGCGGAGCTATTAATGTACAATTAAATGTTATTGCACAATGTTATTGTTACTACATATCGAAATTAATACGTCTCGAACTAAAGCGAGACGCGCAGCAGAGTTGGGATCCGTTGAATAAGTTATGGATGATAAGACGTGTCCTCAATAAACTGGTACATGCCAAATGTTTTTTATTTCATTACCTTTACGACTTAAAAATATAAACTTCATTTCATTATTCAATGTATATTGTTTGAGATACTGTTTCAGATTTGTTTTTCAATGTTCAGTGTTACTTCTAACAATGTTGTAAAAAAATGACTGAAGCTAGTATTTACTTTTCAAATAAAAGTTGACACTTAAATGTTGCCATCACAAAATTACTATGATCCACTAATCATTTATAAAGTCATGAAAATAATTCTAAGGATTATAGTATATTATAATTTATAATAAGAACGGATGGCGCCACTTGTAACAATATAATATTTTTTTCTTTCAAATGGACGTCTAAACATTATCTTGAACGAAGTCGGATGTGAGAAACTTAGTATATAATTGTTTTGTCATACTTTACGTTAAGGTTTTTTTCAGCGAGCAACTAACAAAACTTCTACGTTCTATGTTTGTCTATGATGAGAATTCATTAAATAAAACTAAAAACTTGCAGGAAAGATAAATTTATTTCACACCAACATGCCTCTAAATATTAGCGAAGTGTTTTAAAAACATTGACACATGAAATAAAACACTTTGAGCGCTATTATGATAACTAGGAATATAGATGGAAACACCGTCAGCGATAATTGAGATTTTAATTTGAATTATTTAAATCTTATAACAAGGAAATCTAAATTCATCTTGTTTTGGGCCCTAAACTGGTCCGAATATAATACTTTGACCTGTGTTCACTAATTACACTATAAATATAATAAAACTTTTGCAGCGTCAGAATACCGTGATCTCTTTTTAACTGGCAATTTATAACAACAATACGATTTCACAATATCGTTATCTGTTTATCATATATTTAATTATGAATTTTCTGTTAAATATATATATTCAGGGCATACTGACGCTAACATACTACTAAGATAATAAATATTTCTATCTCTGAATCAATAAGGAAGGATTCTAAGCACCGATGAAGATGATACAATATTACCCTTCACCAGTCCCTTGTAAAAATTACGAAAAATAGAGACTGGCAACACTATCATCAAAATGTAGATTTACATTTTTATTTATATAATAAATGGGGTAAATATATTTTAGGGAGTTTCTAAACGCCGGGTAAATGGATCGCGTTCTCTATATGATATAAGCTTATTCTACAAAGCTCTAAGTATCGCATACTCAGGTTACATAACACTACTTAAAGAATGAATAACTCGCAAGGCATTTGTAAATTTGGTAGCAATCGAGATTCGAGCCAACGAATTCCTTTACCGAGTTATTAACCTTTACATTCATAAACTATAACTAATTTATATGAAAATTCAAAATTTAGAATATGTTGTTGAGGTGATAGCAAAAATATTCTATTCAGAAACAGTATATGGCACCTTTAAAACTGTTTAGAACATTTTAAACTAATACTATATAATATTTACTTACCATTAAAATAGTGAACCATAAACGTAAGGTAAACAATAAAACAAAATCTTTATTAAACATATCAAAGCTCTTATAACAATAAATGTATATATGGGGTCTTTTTCGAAAATATGTCAAAACAACTTCAAAAAAATCTAAAAGACACAATTTTTTTATAAAAATACTCTATAGTTAAAAACTAAAAAATATATACAAATTGTGCTACGCGTTATTTCATCGAAGTTATACAAGTCGTCGTACATAAAGTACTGTATATAATATTTTCTATATTGTCACAAACTAGACCTGTCAATTGTACCCTTATTTACGTATCTATTTGAAGATTCATAAATATATCAACATAATTATAATCTAACAGACAGAAGCGGGTTCAGAGCACATTATATTAAGATTATTATTAATCAATATCATTTTTCCGCGCCATCATTCCGTTTTCCCGCCATCCGTTCTATAAGACTGTTGATCATGTCTGTGTCTACAAGGCCGATGAATTTATCCACTATGAGACCATTCCTGATTGCAATTACCGCCGGCACCGCTTTCACCTGATAAATATGGTATCAATAATAATTTTGTCTATTTCAGTTAAATATATTAAATGTATCACGTCACTCTAGATCTAAATGTATGTGTCATAAATACAAAGTTGTTATCAAATAGATGATACTGATCATATGGTGGGATTAAATATAATGAACTGATTAGAATCGACCTGACAATTATAACGAGGCATCATCAAGACATATGGTAGGATTACTTATTGGTGAATTAAAAAGAAAGCGATTAAATCTGAATAAATTAGTTGGAGATATGGGGTTATATGTATTTTAACTGAAACACACATCGAATTAGGAACTTTCCTCTTTTCAAATCGCTCACCAAATTAAGCATGCATAATTCACTACACACGAATAACAGTACATTTTACAACACACATAACAACAGTAGATAGTATGTTCATTATTCAAACCTCAAAGGTGTGAACTAGCTCGGCGTTGTCTTCAACATCAACTATCGCGAGATCTAGTGAAGTGAACGGTTCAACCAACTCCTTGAGCTTCGGTGTGAGAATCTTACAAGGCTCACACCACTCCGCGTGGAAGTTCACTATCACAGGCTTGTCGTTATTCATCACCTAGTAACATCACATTTAACTTTAAAAATAAATAAAATCACTTTATTTCCAGAACAATATTCCAATTTCACAAACACTTATTAGGTATTTAATGACTTCACTACACTCCAAATCGACAAATAAGAACTTAAAAACTAAAACAAAGACCTTAAATTAATATTATGAGCACAAGCTTTTAAAACGACCTCTAATCACATTAATATAAGAAAACCGATTTGAAACTATTTTAATAATTGCCGCCAAAATTAATGTCATTTAAAGGTTAGCCATAGAGAATATCCATAAATTTGGACAAATTTAATCATAATTACCTTAAACAGTTACACATTATGTTACAACTTTAAATTTTAATGAATAAATTTCAATATTACACCATATAAATTATATATTGATTTCATTTTACTTGTTTGACTTTCAGTTCTGTTCAATTTAATTAGAGTATTCATGTACCTTATTTACGAAATCATCGTAATTCTTGACTAGAATGGTCTCATTGTGGACAACAGATGTTGATATCAGTTTACTTCTTAGACCAGCCAGCCTCCGTACTGGTGATCGCAGCCCTTGACAGATGGCATTATTCATTGTACTGTAAATTGTTTACGTAAATGTAAAAAAATAACTCACATGAACAATACGTGCAAATCATGCTTCATACATCGCTGACATCATGCAGATGTCAGCGTTAAGTTATTTTTAAATTTTAATTATCCCAAAACTATTATTAGTTTTATCAAAGCTAAATTATATGCAACACTATTAACTCTGTCACATTATTCAAAGCATTTCACATTTAGTAAACAAACATGCAATAACTTTTTTGTGAACACGATACGAAGCTGAAATACTCTTGTAGAGGAATTTAATACTTACCAAGTAGAGTTCTTACTACATACTACAGACAAGAAGCATAATGTTATCTTTGATAAAGTAATCTCAATACATCTTTAGTATTTATCATAATGCATAGACTGATAAGGCTAACATTGCTTTGTTACATGAATGAATGACGAATTAGATAATTAACTAAGGTTCATTACTTGAAATTTGTTGTTAAATAAAGAAATCAAATTAATATATACTATGAAAATAATTTTAACCATTATAAAATATTGGTAATCTTAACCATTATAAAATATTGTATAAGAAATTGAGTATTAGTGAAGTCTTGTCAAGATATTTGTCTGTATTCATTAAAAATTCCTTGCTATACCTAATAAGCAAAACATTTAAAACTTTATGATTATGAGAAGATGGCATAATAGTAAATCAGAGGCAAGTCTGGATAGAAAGTAAAATTCTGCAATGGCCCTACATAAGTACTAGTAACTAAGCTGTATGAAATAAGTTGTACAAGAAAATGTATATAGAGTATAAACATTCTATTAATTCAGAACATATAATTTGGCTTACGAACCAATCTTGGATTAAAATTGTATAATAACTTATTAAATTGATCGTAACAGTGACATCAAGTGCTTGGGTTGAATCATCTCTATATTTTTGTAGTGTTTTTGTTAAGTTTTTATTTTTTTTTCTAGTGATTAACAATTGTATTCTTTGTAGCAGTATGGAATAAGAGTATCTATATTAATAAACAGCCAATGTCATTTCAATTGCATACAGGAAATAACTTAAGCTTTGGTCGGTGATAATTGAAAAAATGGATATAATTTTGTAGAGGGGACCCGTCACATATAATAATGCAGTTATTCACACATAGTTATCTTGGTTCAATATAAAATATAGTAGCTTTTCACCCGCAGCTTCGCTCGCGTGGAGTTCGGTTATATCCTGTTTCCAAGAGAACTTTTCAAAAGTCTGGGATAAAAACTATCCTATGTTCTTTCTCAAGGTCAACTCTATATCTGTACCAAATTTCATTAAAATCAGTTCAGTGGTTTAGGCGTGAAAGCGTAACAGACAGACAAACAGAGTTATTTTCGCATTTATAATATTATAGGGATATCAATATATCAATGGGTCCTATGTATAAGGGCCAATGTAGCAATTCACCCATTTTCATTTTTATGCCTTAAACACTTCATAATACTGTATTCTACAACATCCATTTAAAAAAAAATGTCTATCTGTTGGTAGAAAGACTTAGTTTTGATTGCAGAAAAAGCATAAGTAACACACTTTTTATTGTATAAGGGCTTATATAATGTATATTATAAAATAATATATATATATATTTAAAAAACTACAGCCACGGGCAAAAGTATTAGGCACCCTACAGTAAGACAAGTTTTAGGGTGTTTTAGCATAGCGAGTGTAAATAAAACTGCATTTATGATTACAATGGTTTATTTTAAGAAAATAATTAATATTTTGTAGGTCCACCTTTTGACTTAATAACCGCAGCCACTCTTTTTGGCATTGACTCTACCAGCCTGAAACATTCTTCTCTTGATATATTTTTCCATTCCTGCTGTAACGCGGCCAATAGAGCTTGTTTATTGCTAATCGAGTGCCTGCGGATATTTTTCTTTAAAATGGACCAAATATGCTCAATCGGGTTGAGGTCTGGTGATTGTGGTGGCCAGTCCAAAAGATCAATATGATTTTCAGCAAACCACTTCATGGTATGCGCGGACTTGTGGCAAGTGGCGTTGTCTTGCTGAAATTTCAGGCCATCGGTGTTTGTATCACCGAAAATTTGCGTTATCGACGTTGCTAGTGCTGTTTCCAGAACTTCAGTTTATTTAACACTATTCATTCGTCCCTCACACAACACCATTTCGCCCACTCCGTCGGCAGCCATGCAGCCCCAGATCATTATTGAGCCTCCACCATGCTTAACAGTGGGAACCACACATTCTGGGTTGTATTCTTCGCCAACCCTTCGCCTAACATAAGTCACACCGGGTGTTCCAAACACCTATGCCAAACGAAAAAAACACATTTATTTTCAAAGTTATTATTTTTCATGCAGTACGTTATTTTAAAAACATTTATGTGTTTTAATATTGTACATAAAATAAATAACAATACCTCAAAGTTAGATTCGTCTGACCACAGTATGTTGGACCAATCTTCCACTGACCAATCTCTATGTTTGAGTGCCCACTCCAACCGATTTTTCTTATTGTGTTCTGACAGCCACGGCTTCTTCCTTGCTTTACATCCTTTTAATCCAGCTTTAAGAAGTCTTCTTCTCACAGTATAAACACTCACTGAGCTGCCTTTTGCCTCAGATAATGCTGCAGCGAGCTCTAAAGCAGTTTTTTTTTTTCCGGTTTTGTAGAGACTGCCTAATCAACAATCGATCTTCCCGTTCAGTAGTAACTTTTCTTCTGCCTGTTCTTGGTCTATTTTCATGGGTGCCAGTCTCTTTGAAGCGATTTATAGCATATTGAACTGCACATCGCGAGCACTTCACTTGTCGGGCTATTTTAACCTGAGACATGCCTTGTTCATGTAAAATCTTAATTCTTAGACGCTGTTCAGCACTAAGTTCAGATTTTTTCGGCATGATTAACACGTTAAATGTTAGTCTTTAGAATTGTGATAGGAATAGTTGCGTAGAAGACGTGTATGTTCACTGCAAGCACTGATAACACACTATAACCCGAAACGCAAAAAAAGCAAATTCGAAGAAACACCGCTTAGGAGCACACCTGGATGTCATAAATATTTTCTTTTATCTTAATTTGGTTAAAAATTGCCGCTAATACATTAGCTAAACCATAAAACACAGACTTGACCGCAATATAATGAGATAGTGACTAACAATAGGGGTGCCTAATACTTTTGCACGCAGCTGTAGTTGGTTTACAAAAAAGTTTATCAAGCATAAATAACATACATGTATGTCATAGTTGCTATGCAAAGTTTCAAAAGCATCAGTTTTTGCATGTGAAAGATACATTGAAATCAAACTTAAAACACCTCTACTTTAAGATTGAAATTTTGCACTTTGGCCCTTATATATGGGAGTTTTAAAACATAAATGATAAAACCATATATTTTTTATGAAATTACAAGGATGAGTATGTATGACTTTAGTCTTTTTACATTATTTTTCTCTAAGCATAATCAACGAAACAATATAATATTTGTAAACAAAACAGATATTTATGAAGTGACTTATGTTGCTAGTTTTATAATATCCTCTATACTCAAATTCAAATCAGTTTATAAGAGTTTGTGTTCATTAATGCTGGAATATATTGCTTGTAATTATAAAGGAGTTAGTATTTTTTAGTTATGTATTATTTGCCATATTATAATTTTGAATATTGACTCTGGTAGGTTCAATTTAATTATTTCATAGCAATTATGTTTAATTGAAATAAGACTGTCCATTAATAATAATTATGACTATGAAGTATTCTTCAATACAATTTCAATTCAATACTTCAATAGTTTTAAATATAATAACTTTAAACCATTTCTTTGTTATGAAGTTCCAGATTCATATAATTTTAGTGTTAAAAATTTCTTTTTTCAACCATTTAAATTAGAGAGTTTAGTTTAAGAACATTGACAAAATCTGAAGTGATACATTATTATACTCGAAATAAAGTATTAGATAGAAAAATAATTGTATATTTATATAATATACATTTTATGGTGTTCCTAATTATTTAAATTTGATAATAAAAACCTGTTTTAGAGTATTTTCAATATAAATGTATAGGAAAATGTTGCAGATGTTTTATGCTGCGACTAACATGTAAATAGATGATGATTTTACATTTAACTAATGATTTGAACTGATCTCATTGAAACATTTGAAAGCAGAACATTCTGTGATTAGTGAATGATCATTGCCAACAATTATTAGCTAACCATCTCAAGTTAGATCTATACATTGAGATATAAACATTCCAGTAATTTCTGAGTACACATAAGCACAAACAAACTGGCAACGTCACTCACCGGTTGTTAATTTTAATCAGTTTTACCGGGAGGCTTCACTTGAGGAGGCGGATCCTCGGGTTCATAGACAGATACATAACTGAACAAATATATATAAGCCACGAGAATACCAACAGACGCTGATATTACAGTAGCAGGAAACGGTAAAAAGACATTGCGATAGAAACTGTTAGCGATCCCGTGTAAAATTTCCTCGGGTAATGTATAAAAAAAGGCGGTTAAAATTGTCGCAACGATAAATGTTACCCTGCCCGAGCTATGATTTGAGTATATAGCTGCTAGTATTAGTATAATGGAAAAAAACCAGATTATTATCAAAATATATTCCAAAAGGCCAAAATTATACATTTTTTACCATAGTCAGACCTCGGTTAAAATAAGCCTTAATTTTTTAGTAGCACTTCAAAAACATGCAAAAGATCTAGTTTATTTACAGTTTTCTTGTGTAACACGTCACATGGATGCGATAATATCCTCAGTTTTTTCACAAAAATAGTTAACCAGATAAATAAACTCGAGAACACTTGTTAGACTGTATACACAACAAACTGAACTAGTTACCGTTCATAAATGGTCAATGATGAAAATTTAGCCCTGGAGAACCAAGAAAAATCAATGAAGCTAAATTTTCTTAAATGTAATTCACAAGCAAAGGTTTATATTATTCAGACACTAAAAAAATGTTAACTTAATAAATA